GCCCGCAGGGGTAGTGGGATGGGGACCCCCTCACATCGGGGCTCCTCCTCGTCTCAGTTGTTTGCACATGTGGTCACTAATGCTCGTAAGTGCCACTTTGGACTGTCCAGTTAGACGGTTGCAGAAGGAAAAACCAGCATTGAGTGTAACATCACTCTCCTCTTGATAGCTCCATGCTATTTAGTTAAGCGGCTAATTTTCATAATGTCACAATATTAATTCCTCTCACGGATGTACTGAATTCCTGCTTTTATTTCAGGTGAGCAGATCTGAGGCCTGAGGCCCATGTGCAGTCCATGCCCCTGCCCAAGCGGCTTGCACTGGGGATTCCAGGCCTTGTTGGCCTTTGCACTTTGAGTTGTGTGCCTATAAAATAGGGCCAAATCGTTCTCAGTTACTTTATTCAAACATAGGTAATCTGAGTGATATTATACTGAACCTAAATCAAAGAAAAGAATATAAAATCCTTTAGCTACATCTAAGGATTTGAAGTCTAGCATGACTCGAAGAGATTATTTTTATATAGCTAATTAAAGAATATGTTATGAAGGTGTTGGGTTTTGGGGAGATAGAAGGTGAGGAAGTGTAGGAATCATGCATGCTTCCCAGAAATAGCCAATTGTTTTTGAGAATTGGCCTGGACCAGTGCCTAACAACCTGTTGCCAGTTCTTCACAGCCCAGCCTCCTGGGCCAACTCCTTTTTTTCTGTCTGTCGTCTGCCTCAGGTAGCCCTGTGCATAGTAGCCCTGTTTGCCCATGGTGTTGAACTGTGGTTTAGTGTGTGCAGCATTCTGGAAGTCGAATAATCCTGTTGAAATTATGTACAGAATCTGTGTAACTTATTATTTGGCATCCAGAAGTTTCAGCAGTGGACTAATAGATGTTCTTTACAATTGAATGATTGAGAAAGGAACAAAACTACCTAACCCAATCTCAATGTTGTAGTTTTATAGCAAATGAAAACTGGGAGCTTTTTGTAGTAAGAGGCCAATGGCCTAAGACAAAGTATCTGCTGAGTTAAGACTTAAGAATTGTATTCAAATGTTTTACGACCACTCTCTGGGAATTCTGTATATCACACTAGTTTTTTTAATATTGTTATGTTAATAAAAGCTATTAATTGTTTGTAGTTCTGCATCTTGAGATGTGTAAAAAGCCTTTTAAAATGACCTCAGGTAGGATGCATTTTATTACATATTTCTTTCAGAATATATAAAGCAGTTAGGTTTATTGCACAAAATTTAGAATGCACATTACAGTGTAAAGAAGACAAATTTAAACCTACAACCCTTCCTCTGAGTAATACTAGTGTTTATTAACATAAACCTCAGAGATTTATCCTTTAAAAAGTTTTTTACAAATTAAAATCACATACTTTATAATCTGGTTTTATAGGTAATAAACTGCACACTTTCACTGGGTGACACAAACCTTTCACCCGTCTTGGTGGCTGCTTGGTGCAGTGTGCCTTCTCGCACTGCTGCTGTCTCTGAGGTGTCAGGTGCATGCTCTCCCCTGATGATGCTGTTGCTGCGTGGGCTTGATTCCCATAGATTCTGAGTGGATCAGGCTGTGCTGCTGGGTGTGCAGAGACACAGCACTCCAGGTCTTGAGGATAATTCCAGTTCCACGTGTGAATAACTAAGTGCAGTCCTGTCTCCTGTCGGGGCAGCAGGGGCTCTGGCCCGTCCCTTGGAAGAGTACCTACTTTGGCAAGATCTGTTTACAAGACGTTGACTGCAGGCTCCTCATAAGAGGCTGAGTTTCCCAGGAAGGACTGGTACTTCCCACTCACTAGCAGCAGGCTCTGGATGTTAGGCTGATTGCTGTGGGTTTGTTCAAGTGTGATTTCTCTCTTATTTTTTTTCTTTTTTATTGTTATTGTAAAGATGATGTACATAGGAGTTGCAGCTACACAAGTGAAGTAATGAGTACATTTCTTTTTGGACAATGTCACCCCTTCCCTTGCTCTCTCCCAGTGTTTCCCTCTGGCATCTCTCTTTATAGAAAGGAGTTTTAAGGCCACCTGGGTTCATGTTTTCTGTGCAGAGAAGTGAAGTTGAGCCACAGGGCTCTTTTCACATGAGATGATGCACTGTGGCCATTATCCTCTCTGGACATTGATGATCTGAACAAGGAAAGCTCTCCCTCCACTAGTTCCAGACCCTTCTTTCCATGTAGCTACTTGGATCAGTGACACTGCCCTGCAGCCTTCCTCGGATCCTCGTGAGATCTGGCTGCTCTGCCAGTTTGCCATTGACGTGATGGGTGGGTCTCACTGCGTCTGCTTCACCGGGCACCGCAGTGGGGCTTGGTATACATGAGCCCCATTCTGCAGCACAGTTTGTGTTGGAAGCTAGTGTTGACCCAGGGGTGCCTATTGCTGTGGCGACTGGACAGGGGTGGGTGTCTGTGGCTCCTAGGCGATGTGTCCAGCGATACCCAGTGTGGCAGGGTTCACTGTGGGAACAGAGTTCTCTTACAGTGCTGCCTTAGGAAAGGCAGGTATTGCTGCCTGAGTTGCCGGGGCTCTTCCAGCAGCTGTGTGTATAATGTACTATATGTATATATATATATATATATATATATATATATATATATCATATATATCATCACAGACAGACCCCCCTGAGCCCCGGTGAGAGGTCGGGAGTCATTCAGACCCCCTGAGCCCCGGTGAGAGGTCGGGAGTCATTCAGACCCCCTGAGCCCCGGTGAGAGGTCGGGAGTCATTCAGACCCCCTGAGCCCCGGTGAGAGGTCGGGAGTCATTCAGACCCCCTGAGCCCCGGTGAGAGGTCGGGAGTCATTCAGACCCCCTGAGCCCCGGTGAGAGGTCGGGAGTCATTCAGACCCCCTGAGCCCCGGTGAGAGGTCGGGAGTCATTCAGACCCCCTGAGCCCCGGTGAGAGGTCGGGAGTCAGACAGACCCCCTGAGCCCCGGTGAGAGGTCGGGAGTCAGACAGACCCCCTGAGCCCCGGTGAGAGGTCGGGAGTCATTCAGACCCCCTGAGCCCCGGTGAGAGGTCGGGAGTCAGACAGACCCCCTGAGCCCCGGTGAGAGGTCGGGAGTCATTCAGACCCCCTGAGCCCCGGTGAGAGGTCGGGAGTCAGACAGACCCCCTGAGCCCCGGTGAGAGGTCGGGAGTCATTCAGACCCCCTGAGCCCCGGTGAGAGGTCGGGAGTCAGACAGACCCCCTGAGCCCCGGTGAGAGGTCGGGAGTCATTCAGACCCCCTGAGCCCCGGTGAGAGGTCGGGAGTCATTCAGACCCCCTGAGCCCCGGTGAGAGGTCGGGAGTCATTCAGACCCCCTGAGCCCCGGTGAGAGGTCGGGAGTCATTCAGACCCCCTGAGCCCCGGTGAGAGGTCGGGAGTCATTCAGACCCCCTGAGCCCCGGTGAGAGGTCGGGAGTCAGGTCCTGTGAGTGTCTCAGCTCTGGAGAGATTGTTGAGACCCCATTGGAATAAAACACGAGGAGTCTGGTAAGTCTGTAGAAGATGAAGAGGTAGCAGATGGAAGGTGTTCCTGTCTACCTGAAGTCTCAGAATGAGAGTCAAATTCTCACTTCAGGTATCCTGAACCAAGAAGAGACTGACCAAAAGGCACAGGGGATCCCTCTGGCATGGCATGTCGAGAGACAGACAGACAGAGGGCCAGTAGATAGAAGTCCCTCACCAGACATAGAGGGCAGATGGTGTGATGTAGATGTGCTGCCAGCAGTGGTAGAGGTGGGAGGTCTGATGTGGGGTTCCTTTGGCAGTTTGGGCTTTGGCGTGGGGGGGGGGGTCAGACTGACCCTCAGAAAGAGAAGCCTATGGCGCGTCACTGTCCCCTCCTGGGTGTCAGCACCAGAGGTAAGGGTTGCCGAAAGGATACCACCATGTGGCTCAGGCAGAAAAGAGTTGAGTTGGGATAGCCAAACTTCCAGGCTGCACCCGAGAGTAGGCTGTAGTGTGTAACAGCCCATACTAACGGCAGAGAGAGATCCTGTAACTAGCATATGAGGAGCGGAGCGCGGAGCCCAGGGCACCTCCCACTGTCTGAGGAGTATGGAGGAGTCCACAGGGGCAGAGTCAAATTCTCTTCAAATGTCCCCCAGATGAGAAGAGACTGGCTAAAAGGTGTAGGGGAATCCCTCTGGCATGGTGCCAAGCCAAAGGAGAGACAGAAGGCCTATTGTTAGGGGTCACTCGCCAGAAGAGGGGTGATGGTGAGGTGCGGAGGTGTGGCCAGCAAGGTAGAGGTGGGGGGGTCTGACATGGGCTCCTTTGGCAGCTTGGATCTGAGGAGGGGTGGTCAAGAGGCGACTGACCCTCAGAAAGAGAAGAGGAGGGGATCTGTGGTGCGGCACCGTCCCCTCCAGGGTGAGCTTTTCCTGAGCACCAGGAAGGGCCCTCAGGGGAGGGGTCAGTGAGCATGGGAGCAACATGGAGTTACTAGAACAAAGCCGATCTCATTCAGAATTGTGAAGACTTTGAGGACTCTTGGATAGGGACTGAATGCACCTTGTATTATTGAATAGTCAGAGCCTTTGAGGGAGAAAGAAGGGAGGTCTTACTGTTTGAATACTATCTGGGGTGGTGATGGATGAGGTGGGCTCTTGATGAAGAAGGTCGGTCTCTGGGTTTATCTTCGAAGGTTATGCGCATTCCCCAGTTCCTACACTGCTTTTGGAGTGCATCATGGACACCGCCCTGACACACCCTCCCCACCCTCACAGACTGAAATTTCTAAAACTGTGATCTAAGTGATGGAATTCTAATAGCAATGAGAGGGTGCACATGTGACCCAGCCAGGCTGGTTCCCTAGTGGAGCCTCATGGTGCTCCCAGACAGGGAGAGGCCTTCTGAACGCCCAGGATCGCCTGCGGCCCCGGCTGCCTCTCCCCTGGCCTCGGGCAGTGTCTGAAAATGGAGTGAAGTCCAGAAGTCCCACTCTGGGACTTTTTGTCCCTTTCTGCAAGTAGTTTCTATTTCTTACTCAGCGGCTGTGGAGAATCAGTATAGTGTTCTTTTTATTTAATGCAGATGCCCTGCTTGGTTGCTTCCCAAATCTGTTTCCTTAAAAACAAACAACACCACCACTGAAAAACGTAAATGGGAAAAAGGTTAATATGATTAATTTGAGTTTTCCTTGAAGTAACTTGTAATATCTGTAATTTGTTATTTGTCACTTGAATTGCTTGAAACATGATTTATTTGAATGTGAGTTTTCAAAAGCATCAAGATCAGCCTCCTGTGTCTCTTGACTCTGGGCGAGCAGTGACCAGATGCTCTTGGCAGAAGTAGGTCAGGACTGACCTCCACATCCAGTCCCCTCCACTCACAGGCCACTCAGCTTCATGGGCACCTGCTTTACAGACAGCAGAGGATGCCAGTAATCAAAATTGCTTGCAGCGCAATGACCTGGAAAGATAGAACCTAAACCTGGTCTTAGGTTCTGAGCAGGCTCCTTCTACACACATGTCCCACAGGACCAGTAGAGGATCATTCTAGAAGGAGGATTCTACTAACTATAAAAAAGTGATGGTCAGTTCTGAGGTGAAATATCAGCATTTGGTTTGTAAGACATTGTTTTCCATTTAGAACTCGTGACATCAAATATTTAGTCAGTTAATACAGCTCACCCCAGGCAAAGGATTTAAATGTGACCATGCTCTTTGCCGGAGACGGCTGGACAGCCTTTCAGGTGCTGTACAAAGCTTTGCGATTTTAGGCTGCTACTTCGCAGGGTTGCTTTTGGTAGTTGATCGGTTTGTCCTTTCTGGGTTAGTGTTCCGCAGAGCTATGGCTGCCCGTATAGCATATGCTTTACGACTGACACACTGCTCAGTCCTTTGGACCAGTCAGCTTATACAAATGGCTGCTACAGCAGACACAATGTTGCAGCAATTTAAAACAGACTTTGGGAAGGGAGTTTCAAATTTTCACATAGCAAATCAAGCCTCCTAATTAGCTACATATGGCTGGAGAGTTTGGGTCTGATAAGCCTGAAAGCCTTTGTGCTTGGGTTCCTGCTATGAACTTCATCTCTGGTGCAGGGACAGCGTGGGTCTTTATCTCACTCATGTTCAAAGAACTCATGGCAGGCAGTGGTCACCATAGCAATAAAGGCCATAAATTCCTGAAAGTCACATTCTCCTCTCCATCTTCATCCAGTGTTTCCATGACTTTGTCCACAACCTCCTGCTCTTTGATTTCCTAAAAGTGATAAGAAAAGTTGTCTAACTTATTTTTAAGTGGAATATGTAGCGATCACAATGTGATTCAACATTGCTTGGCTGACAGTTTGTATCAGAAATAATCCTAAAACAAATGCAAAATACCGGAAAAGATTTCTCCTGTGACCAGGGAACTATTGGCCACGCAAAACTCTCTGGGAGTCTATGCCTTTCCTCCTTTAAATCCTGTGGAACTGGGGCTGGGAAGATGGCTTAGTGGTAGAGTGCTCGCCTAGCATGCATGAAACCCTGGGTTCAATTCCTCAGTACCACATACACAGAAAAAGCAGGAAGTGGTGCTGTAGCTCAAGTGGTAGAGCACTAGCCTTAAGCACAGAGAGGCTCAAGGACAATGCCCAGGTCCTGACTTCAAGCTCCAGGACCGGCAAAAATAAATAAATCCAGTGGGACTGTGGACACTGAAAAAGAATAGAACAGTGAGTATGTAAACATCTTCAGGGTATTATCAAAACACATGGGAAAATAAAGAAAAGATGAACTTTTGGTGTTCCTGAGTTTCATTTCTGGGGTAGGGGTTCTCTCTGGTAATGGTTTCAGTGGATTTTAATATTTTCCTGAAATGCTTGGGGACACTTGGAAATGCTAATTCCTACATTCTTTCTCCCATTCAAGTTGGGTTCTTTTTTTTTTTTTTAAGCTGTTTGGAGGCCTTTCCTGATAGTCCTGCCTGACACCAGAGCCAAATACATGGCGAGGTAACTAGGTGATGTGTGGTCATAGTACAGGGTTTCAAACACGGCGGAGAGAATCTGGGCCTGGGACACTGACTCTCAGGCATCTCTGAATCCAAAGGGTTCAAAGTGGGGCTTTGCCCAGTCGGTAGAGCTCTTGCCTAGCAAATGCAAGATGCTGAGGTTCAGACCCCAGTAATGGTCAAGTATTATGAAAGGCTGGGCCTTGTAATACACCTCAGAGGCCAGGGTTTGGATTTAAAAACAATGTTCTCCTAAAGCTCATAAGCTGAAGGCTCGGTTCCTTGCCTGTTGTGCCTCTGAAAGGTGATGGGGGCCTCCCGGGAAGAAGTTATATTACTAGGTGTGTCCTCAAAGGGGACATCGAGACCCTAGTCCTTCCTTTCTTCACTTCCCAAATGCTGGGAGGTGGGCAGCTTTGAGCCACCATTTGCTCCTCAACATGGCCCAAACCAACAGGGCCAAAATACGTCTTTCCTCAGGTAATTTCTCAGATATTTTTGTCACAGTAATGAAAAACTGACGGACACATTAGGTTTGCTTTCAAACTGAAATTACACTGCTAAAACCAGGCCAGCCAGCTCCCAGGCCTAGAGCTCAAGCCCCACAACTGACAAAAAATAAAAAAAGAGATCTTTCATGAGATTGTTTCTAACATATTTATAAGATATGTCTTTGTTGCTTTGTCTGTCCCTCTCCCATGGTATAACCCCTGCTTTCACTATAGATGATGTTGGTATATGTGGAGGGGAAGGGAAAAAACAAATAGTTAAAACAGGGATACAGGAGGACACATTGCAACAATGAGATGTACAAGTTGTTATGTGGAAAAACGAATTTTACAACTTTGGTGGGGGGAGGGGGGGATGCGAAGGGATGGGAAGGGGAAACAAAGGAGGAGGCTACAATGCTTGATAAGAAATATACTCATTATCTTGACCATGTAATTGTAACCCCTCTGTAGGTATTTTCACAATAAAAAATAAAAATAAAAAAATAAAACCAGGCCAGCAAGTGTTCATGATACTTTGGTATACCTTGAGTTACCAGTAATAAATTGTGGGTCCTCTATGTTAACATTTTCTGTTTTAAAATCAGTAATAGATGCTATTATTAGCTACTATTTGTTGAGCGTTCACTATGTAATAAGGGCTTGATCTGATATAAGGGCTTGATCTGATAAGTCTGTGTTGGTCTGAGCAAATGTCTCAAAAGAAAAAATGAACTTTTGATGCTCCTGAGTTTTCTCTTGTTAATGGAGTGAAGGTTCATCCTTATTGTAATTTTTTTTATAGAGATCAGCTACGACATTTTTTATTAAATCAAAAGACAGAATTGGTGGGACATACTGGTCACATAGATTGTTTTGTGTGACCCTAAATGAGAAAAGCAGTCCCAGACTCAGGTGTGGGAATTCCCCAGCAAGCTTTGCTTCTTAACAATGGAGTTAAGTGGGGGTAGGGGCAGGAGAGCCCAGCCAGCCACCCGGGTATCGTGGACTCTCATCTTTCCATTACTGTCTGATAAGGCACCATCCCAGTGTCCTGGACCCATCCCCAGGCTGGGCCTTTGGTCAGACAAGTATGCCCCACTTTGTTTCCTGGCCAATTGCTTCCTAGCAGGGGCAGTCACTTCTACAACCGAGGAAATTCCTTGCTGCAGTTAAGTCTCCAGTCCACACAGGACTCCACCAGCCCATTGGCCTTCAGGTGAGCAGCAGTGTTGATTCAGAGCACCAGGAGACGTAGGAAGTAGATGGATTGTATGGGAGCCCAGGTTGGCGAGGACCAGGGCAGCAGACTCAAGTGTCCAGATAGGCCCCAGCCAGAGAGTGGCCTCCAGGGGCTGACGCAGCTTTCTGATAGGAGCCCAAACAGCAGAAAGTTCCTCCCAGTGTTCTGTATTCCTGGAGCCCCCTTGAGGGGCTTCTGGCTTCCAAAAGTTGTGTTAGGTGTCGGCCTGCAGCGCTCACAGTATTAAATTATCAGGTGCTTAGTATTTATTTAATCTCTAAATACTAAACATCTGTAATAAAGCCCAAAGGTATCCTTTCTCCAAAGTTCATTTTTCTTGTGCTTACACTGAAACAGGAACTCGAGGCCTGGGCACTGTCCCTAAGCTTTTGTGTTCAAGGCTAGTGCTCTACCATTTGAGCCACAGCTCCACTTCCAGATTTCTGGTGGTTAATTGGTGATAAAGAGTCTTAAATATTTGTCTTCCTGGGCTGTCTTCAAACCTCAATCCTCAGATCTCAGCCTCCTGAGTAGCTGCAATTACAGGTGTGAGCCACTGGTGCCTAGCCTCTTTCTGTCTCTGTCTCTCTGTTTGTCTCTCTGCCTTTCTCTTGATGCTTTCACTCTCCTCCTCCTACCTCTGTTGAGACGGGGAGTCACTATGTTTGTCCAGTCTCTCAAATTCACAAGACTGCCTCAGCATCCCAGGGCTGGAGCTATGGGCCTGTGCCACCCAGCCACCTACTTGTTTTCTCATGTGTCCACTTGGGCTCTGACAAGCCATACATGTTTTCCCATCCCATTCTGCTGTGATAATCACTTGTCAGTCCTTGATTTTCAGGGACAGATGACAGGGAAATGGAAACAGTGGCCCATTTTAGCCTTTACTCCCAGCTGTTCAAATCAATGTCTAGAAACAACCCAAAAATCTATATATGATCAGAACCCTATCAGGGCAGCTCAGAAGAGAAAGTGTAAGGTGGATTTTGTTTGTCTTTGTTTTGAGCCCAGGGGGGCCCGATGGTCATCAGACTCCTAGCAGCTGGGCTTACATGTGCTCGCCATTGCTCTGGCCTGGCATAGGTGGTTCAATGACTGGAAAGGCACACAGGTGGGCTGTGGGTTTCCCAAGGGGAGACTCACCTCCAGGAAGTGGGAGAGCTCACTGTTGATGAGGGCCTTCAGTTCAGACTTCTTCAGCTTGTGCTTGTCACCTTCCCTTCCAGAGTACTGGTGGAAGACATCAAGGAGGGCAACCAGCACCTTCTCCAGCTCAGACATCCTGGGGACAGCAGGAAAGACACCCTTTCACGCCTGCTGCCTGCTCTACGAGGCCTTCAAGGTGCAGACCTCCGCTCGGCAAGGCTGGGCCCATGACTCTTCTGGTGGTGGTGGTGGGGACATTGAAATGTCACCATTCCATCCTCCTCTTAGTCCCTCCTACTCCTGTGTCCCCGTGTGCTTTGGAGAAGAGTTTCACTAGTCTCTATCCTCTGGTTGGGTGCAAGTTTCAGAAAAAATGCATCTGCAGAGCAGGGAGGGAACTTGGACTGATTGCACCTCCTGGATGGCTGCTCTCAGCTTTCAGGGGATTCAGATTAAGCAGGTGAGCAGAGCTCCAACTCAGAAGGAGGCTTGCTGGGCACTAAGGTGAGTAGGAGCAAATCAGGGCAAAAAATCAATAACACTCCTATGTCCAACTAGACAATATGGAAGAGAATATCCTATTCATAAACCAAAGTTTAGGAAGAGCAATGCAGGCACTTCCAAAAGACAAAAGAACATGAATCGTGGGAGCTTATTTTCCTTTGCCTTAATATATACATTTTAGTCATTTTAAATAATATATGAGATTTCTTTGAGTGGGTTATAGAAATAACAAAAGGAGCTGTAAAAATGATCTGGAAAAATAGGTAAGATATAACTGCCACAATAACAAGGAAAAACACTTGACCCTCCAGAAACAAAAGTGAGCTAGGCTCACTTGACACAGGGACGGCTGTGGTGCAAAGGGGAGACACACCCGGTGCTGGTCTTGCTGGCTGCACCCCAACAGGGGACCCAGGCTTTTCCTGCTGTTCCTCTTCCTCTAGATTCCAGCGAGAGCTGTCCCTCTTCCCTGATGACACCCCATGCCGCAGATACAAACACAGAGGTGGCCCCTCTTAGGCCCAGAGTTCAAGCCTCATGATTGACAAAAAAAGTATAGGAGGGAGTGGGGATGGGGGGAGGATGGGAAGGGATGGGAAGGGGAAACAAAGGAGGAGGCAACAATGCCTGATAAGAAATGTACTCACTATCTTTCCCATGTAATTGTAACCCCTCTTAAGGTATTTTCACATTAAATTATAATTATATATATATATATATATATATATATATATATACATATACACATATCTGTAAGTAATTATACAAAGGAGTTTCCATCTAACATGCTAATAACTTTTTCCCTTTTAAATTCTTCCACTTGGGGCTGGAGGTGTCGCTCAATGGTTAGAGCACTTGCTTAGTAAGTTCAAGGACCCGAATTCAAACCATACCCTAAAATAAAAAACATAAATACAATTAAATTCTTCCACTTAAGGAGCAGTTGGTGGTTTATAAATTATCTTCTAAGAGAGTTATCTTTGTCTTCTTCATCCCTCATACTGTACATATTCTGCCTTAATCTTATTATAGTGAAAGTAAGAGAATTTTAGGATTTTAACTTCTTGGAAAGACACATTCTGTATCATGTAGGAGACCCATTAAAAGAGGGGGGTTCTTCCTCCTTGAGAAAGGTAATGCCAAAGAAAGAAAACTTACTTTTACTCCCTGTTTCTTTTAACCAATTTATTATTGTTTCAACCATCCTGTTATTTCTTAGTGGTGTCTGGGCAGGATGTGGGGCACTGGAATCTCAAGCTGGAAACCGGGTAGCAGTGACCTAGAGAAGCACCTGGGGGAAAGGCAAGTTCTTGTTCAAGAATTTGGGGGCTGGGGCCGGTGGCTCACGCCTGTAATCCTAGCTTCTCAGGAGGCTGAGATCTGAGGATCACGGGCAGAAAAGTCTGTGAGACTCATCTCCAATATAAACCACTAGAACACTGGAAGTGGTACCGTGGCTCAAGCAGTAGAGCGCTCACCTTGAGCTGAAGAGCTGAGGACAGTGCCCAGGCCCAGAGTTCAAGCCCCAAGACCGACAAAAAAGAAAAAAAAAGAATTTGGGGGTAAGCAAGCTCTAGAGGGAAGCCAAAACCATTCCTTCCAAGAGAAGATGCAGTATTCATGGTGCTTTTGGAAAAATGTCAAAAGACTCTAGAATTGAAGTCTCTCTGATTTATGGAAAAGAAAACAGGTAGCACATGTTTGTGTCTGCTTGGTGTTGGTGTATTCCATGGTATAAATAGCAATAATAGGGTCAACAGTGAGGTCAGGCCCAAAGCGTGGAATGCCTGTCCACAGTTTAAAATGCTGCTTATTGTCCCAAAGGGTCGTTTTCAGTTCCCTGTCCCTCCCTGACCACCCTCTGTCTCCCTCTGTCTCTGTCTCTGTCTCTGTGTGTCTGTGTGTCTGTCTCTCTCCCTCTCCCTCCCTCTCCCTCCCTCTCCCTCTCTCTCCCTCTCTTCTCTGTCTCTGTCTCTCTGTCTGTCTGTCTCTCTGTCTGTCTCTCTTTCTCTTTGTCTCTCTATCTGTCTGTCTGTCTGTCTGTCTCTCTCTCTCTCTCTTTCTCTCTCTCTCTGTCACACACACACACAGAATGGAAGGAAGTTTTTCCTGAGCCTTCTCAGTCATTGGCTCCTTCTCACCTTCCCTGGCTGCCTTCTGTGCCTGGATGTGTTTCTGGCTTCAGTATCTCCAAGTAGCAGAACTGAGCTGGAGTCAGCCACTTATTCCTCCCAAAGCAGGGGTGGGGTGTGGCCCCTGCAGTCCACTGTGGGCCAGGGTGGCCAATGGGGGCTGTGGGCGGGGAGCTGTGCGGCCAGGCTGCACAGAGGCTGCATTGACCGGGCTCCCAGGGGACTTGCTGGAGAGCCAGGGTTCACAGCCCCAGAAGGAAGGCAGGAAGTGAGGAGTCCACTTTGTGCACCATTTACATGAATACTGATGTTCTTTTCAAAGCAAGGCTCAGGGTGAGGAGAGAAGAGAAACACTGACTAAACAAATAAATGTGCAGCCAAAGCCTGGAGGCGTCTAAGTGCAGGCTGACCATAGGAGACTGAGTGGCTGTGGCTGGTTTCCAATGTGGAGGCCCATGGGCTTCACCTTGGCCAGTGTCCCTGGTCTGACTGCCTCCTGGAAATGTGACCCCTATGGACATCAGTGCAGGGTACTGTCTGCCCCTGGGCTCCTCCTGGCTGCTTGGAAGAGCTGCTGGGCTGAGCACTGCAGGGGTGACACAGGGTTCTGGCCGCTTTTAGGGAAACTGTTCAATATGAAGATGTTAGGACTCAGTCCTCGCTCTTTCCCCGGGTGAAAGATCACAGGCTGTCAGAGCTAGACATGCTTCAGAAGTGTCACTCCGGGGTCCATAGCCAGCATCTGGAAAGCCAGGTCTGGACTTGCGCAGCATCTTTCCCCAGCTAGTAAATGTAGAAACCATGGAAGGATCCACAAGCTGGCCTTCCCCCTGACAGCTCATCCAACATGCCATGGTCCCCCGAGGTCCCTGAGGGCCGAGCCAGCCCGGGCTCCTCGGCAGGCTGTGCATGCGTGGCTGGGGCCACATGGAGCTCCCAGGTACCCAGGGGGCCTGCCGTCAGTCCCTCCTAAGGGGCAGAAAGTCCATGCTGCTCCCTCTATAAGTGTACCCTGGAAAGGGTACAGGGCTGCAAGTCTAGGGTGTGTCTCAGGCCAGGTCCCACCCACCCTCCACGCTGCACAAGCAACAAAGTTTGTTCCACTGTCTCTGATGAAATGTTGAGCACGTGCTTGCTCTGCAAAGCTCAGAACCTGCCTGAGTATGAGAAAGGAGCATGGGTGCTGGGCCGTGGGAGTGTTCACACTCCATTCAAACCAGAGAGACCTTCAGCTTGTTCCTGCTAGAGTTAAGTGTCAGCTCCAGGGCTCAGGCAGGCCTGCTGGCTCGCAGGGTGGCGAGACGGGACCCCGAGTGTCAGGCTCTGTGGAGCAGACTGGAGGGGGAGGTGGCACAAAGGAGAAGAGCTAAGACACACAACCTCCATTTCCCGCAGACTCACAACACTGCTCTTCTTGAATCTCACCTCCATCATTTAAACAGCAGTTCAACTTCGGATAAACAGCTAAATCTCTTCAAGAGGAACAACCACAGTTCCCTCAGGGCTCATGTGGTTGGGTTCTGTGGTCATTTTTCTTTTTTTTGGGGGGAGGGTCCGGTCATGGGGCCTGAACTCTGGGCCTGGGCGCTGTCCCTCAGCTCTTCAGCTCAAGGCTAGCGCTCTACCACTTGAGCCACAGCGCTACTTCCGGCTTTCTTCTTTTTGCTTATGTGGTGCTGAGGAATTGAACCCAGGGCCTCAGGCATGCAAGGCAAGCACTCTACCACTGAGCCACTTTCCCAGCCCCTCATTTTTCTTTGGACCTCATACTTCCTACAAAAGAAAAATGTCTCATGTCGAAAATGAGCTTTACAATGTTGGTGCGGGGTGGGGGGGGGTAGGGAGGAGGTAGGGAAGGGATGTAAAGGGTAAACAAAGGAGGAGGCTGCAATGCTTGATAAGAAATGTATGCATTATCCTGTCCATGTAATTGTAACCCCTCTGTACAGTATGTTCACAAAAAAAAATAAAATAAAAAAAAGAAAAGAAAAATGTCAGGGTGGTCACTGAATCACTGCCGTGTGGAATCAGGGCCTCTCCCAGCTCTCAGACCTAACATATCTTGCTTGACAGGAAAGCTAGTGTCCTTGAAGGAGAACCTGCTCTCCGGCTATGAGTTTGGACCACCATCTGTTCAAGTGACCTGTGGCCATTTACTAAAGAGAAGGAAAGAACCTATGTCTCTCAGAGAGGATTAGATGTTGCCTGAGTCATACCTACTTGAAGGAAGCCAAAATGCCACCCTGGTTACTAGTCAGAGTAGGAATTTGTGATGGTCCTGACTTGACAGAGGTCTTTACCAGTTTCTCACAGTGAGTCCAATTGGTGTATTTTTCCTATAGTTATTTTCTCAGTGTCTGAATGTACAACTGAAACAAACCTGCTTGCCTCTGGCCAGTTCCTCACGGGCTTTCTTACTTCAGGTGACAGGAAAAGCTGAGTTAGAAGATGCAGATCCTCACTTTCTCATACAGAGTAGGCCTGTGCCCTTGTCCCTGAGCACTTCAGGGTAAGTCTGCCATCAAAAAGTTGAAAGGAGCAGGGTTGCGTCACGGTCACCACCTCAGGCCTTTGTGGTCTGTGCTTGCGTCCACATACTGCAGAATGCCAGCTATTGCATTTTGTGTCACCTATACCCTTCTCCCTGCAAACACTGAGTTAGGCCTTGGAGCCTTCAGATATAGCACCTGAATGTGGAAGAAAAAATGCAAGTGACTTCCCCAGGTTTCCCTGGAGTTAAGTAGCTCTTGCAACATCCAAAGTGCCTGGGGCTCTGGAAGAGGAGCAGGGCTCTGTCTTTCCAGTGGGCTGCACAGGGTTTTGGCGCTGCTAAATTGAGGACAGTGACTGCATTTAGCCCACTGCAGCACCTTTGAAAGGGATGTCCGTGTGTGGGGAGCGAGCCACGTTGAGATGTGGATGTTGAGATGTGGAAGATTACAGTTTGATGCTAACCAATAGAAAACTCTATGACACTCCATCTTCCAAAAATAACCAGTAAATAGCTGGGATGGAGGTGTGGCTCAAAGGTAGTGTACAACATTTTGGCCACCTGAAGCTTTGGGGTCAGCCCACATACAAGCCACAATATCACTGTGGTGTAGGCTGTAGGGAGGAGAGGAGTCTGGCCTGGGATCCAGTCTGCCCTCTAGTAAACTGGGCAGGCTGGAAGGGGTGGCATCATTTCTGTTTGTCCTTGTGGAAGGTGGGACCAGCTGGGGTTGGCATTTCTCCTCTTCTAGATAGCTCAGGCTCTAGTGTAATCCAGCTGGTTGCTTCCAAGAAGACATCTTTCCAAATGGGTCTTCTTCATCTCCCTGTACTGAGGTTCAAGGCAATTTTTCTCCAAATAGTTATCTCCTGGAGGTAAAATGTACAAGATATGTGGATCTCCTTGGAGTTCTTATCCTCAAGCTTTTCTACACTTAGCCTTCAGTGGGTTGTTGGTGGCAATTCAGGTTTTCCTGCCTATCCTTGGTCCTGGAAGCTCTGCTCAGTTCTCCCAAACAATAGATCAGAGAGCAAGTGCCAGCCAGAAACTGCTCATGCTGTGCTGGCCGTGGGCATTTGCCAAGAAGTGAAGAACAAGAGGAAAGGCATCGCTGTGTGTGGGGTTAATGGCAGAGGGCTTTGCTTGGTTAATGGTTGAGGCATGTTGAGAACTGGCCATTTCAGTTGGTGGCAGTTGGGGATGATTGGGAGCCAGTGATAGAGCTGGCTGTGTCTGGCCCACACTACCCCTGATTGCCAAAGGCACCCTTGTCTGACCAAATGGTGGGATTCTCCTGACCCAGGTGTCTGAGACAGTTTCTGGCCTCCCGAAGACCAGGGTCTGCACAATGAGGAAGGAACCCTGCTTCCTAGGGTACTGCTTTTCCACTCTGGGGACAGGTGAGAGGCCTCTCTGGATGTGTGGAGCCTCTGCTGGCTTAGGAGTTTCTTCCCCTGGATCAGATCAGTGAGCACGAGGGAGAGGTCACTCTGGCTGGTGTTTTTCGGAAGGAAAGCAGCAACAGTATTTTCTCACCCGCTGCCAAGCTTCTCATGAGGCTGGCCACAGGGCTGCTGTCCATGGGGAGAAAGAGCCTGTGTTCTGAAGGAAGCAAGAAGGGACAAAAGGTCCTGTGTGCAGAGCAGGGTTGGCACTGAGCAGATTAACTGCCTTCCCCGTCCCACGGGACACTGCCGTCCGTCCTGCAGCTGTGGGTGGGCTCACTCTGCAGTCTTGGCACCAAACTCAGATCCTACTTCTGTGGTGAGGCTTTGGCAAGTGATAACCTTTCTTAGCCTCAGTGAAAAGAGAGAAGTGATGTGTTCTTCAGGGCTGCTGGAGGATGGATGATTAAATGAATCTGCCTGTGCAGATGTCCTGTGGCAGGAACACACACACACACAGCATCAAGAGCCTAATGCACTCAGTTGATAGTCATTAATATTACCTTTCCCATCTTATCAGAGTAATTCAGTGCTATCGGGCAATTCCTGGCCCTGAGGCAGTCAAGGAATGCAAAGAACAGCAAATAATAGGACAGGCTATCTTTCAGAGTGAGAGACATAGGACACACTCACTGGCTAACTAAGGACACTGTGAGTCGGAGGCTGTGATTTAGCACGTAGTGATAGAAGATCAGTCTTTCGTGGGTATCACATTTTATTATTTTTGTACCACATCAGATTCCATGAATCCATTTGGTTTCATTTGGAAATCGATGTCCCTTCCAGAAGAGCAAGCCCAGAATGGGGCTTGGAGCTGAGCGCAGAGTCCTTTGTGCTGTTGTTGACTCTGGATGTGTGGCAGTGGGAAGGCCCCATGCAGAACAACAGGGTTTTCTTTCCAGGTTCTGAGAAGGAGCTGGAGCTTGGAGCATTGGGGCGCTTTCTCACAAATCCATGCATGCCTTGATGCTCAGGAACTATCCTGGCGAAGTTGGAGGAAAGCATTTAGACCAACAGATAGCACGGAGGGTATCAAATAGAGAACTGTGAGTTTTGCCTTCTGCTGCAAGTATTCATATTGATTCTACTTGTTGCAGCTTTAAAAAAGGTTCTTGGGGTCTGGGAAGGTGGCTCAGCGGTAGAGTGTTTGCCTTGCATGTATGAGGCCCTGGGTTCGATTCCTTAGCACCACATAAGGAAAAAGAAAAAAGCCGGAAGTGGCGTTGTGGCTCAAGTGGTAGAGCGCTAGCCTTGAGCTAAGTTGCTGAGGGACAGTGCCCAAGCCCAGAGTTTAGGCCCCACGACCGGACTCCCCCCCCCCAAAAAAAAGGTTCTTGGAAGTGTGCCATAAAAGCACAACAGGAACTCACCCTTTTTCCATCACACATGCTTTCGTAATTTTTTAATTATTATAAAGGTTATGTGCAGAGGGTTACAGTTACACAGGTAGTGAGCACATTTCTTTTTGTACAGTGTCACCCCTTCCCTCCCCCACCCCCTGTGTTTCTCTACACCACAGTTGTGCAGTTATTGTGAGATACTGGGAGTTCTTTTCACATTGGGATGTCAAGTTCCTATGATGATGTGTAGAAAGATATATTACATACTGCTTTTGCTTTTTGATGTCCAACAGCAGTTATGTAAGACATGACTGTATGCTCTTTTTTTCTGCTTTTTAGTTCTTTTCTTTCTGTTCTAGAGTTCAGGCAAGTCCTTAGATGTCCTATGTTGTGTCTGCAATGGAGTTCTGAACCGAGGCCTCATGCTCTTACTTGACTTTTTCTCTCAAGGCTTGTTAACTGGAGATGAGCCTCTCAGCTTTATATGCCTGAGCTGGCTTTTATTTGAGATCCTCAGGTCTCAGTCTCCCGAGTAGCTGCGACTACAGGTGTGAGACACCAGTGCCCGGCCTCCATTTGACTTTTAAAAATATATGTTCAGAGAACAAACTGGTTGATTTCAGTTTTGGAAATGACTCAGCAGGTTAAACGTCTTTGAAAAGAACATGTGACCTATTATGTATTGAAATGATCTGGATATGCCAGATTGAATTTGGTAGCTCTGTTGAGTCTTTATGATTGATTGTTTGCTTATATTGTTAGGCTCTGAGGGAGAGGTTTAGGGTGTCTGTTTAGCTCAGTTCCAGTACAGAATACTACAGATGGATTAAAGCATGAGTTTATTGTAGGTTTGGGATTAGAGTTAGGGTTCAGGCTAAGGTTTGGAGCTCAGGTTAGGATTAAAGTTTCTGGTAAAGATTAGGGTCAGGCTGGCCTTTCCTGCCTTAATCTCCCATGTACTAGGACTGTTGATGTGCATGATCACATCCAACAATTGCTTTAATTCAAAGAAAGAAAGGAAAGAAGGGAGGAAGGAAGGAAGGAAGGAAGGAAGGAAGGAAGGAAGGAAGGAAGGAAGGAAGGAAGGAAGGAAGGAAGGAAGGGAGAAAAAGAAAAGAAAAAGAAAAGAAAGAAGGCACAGCTGTGTGTGTGTTTCATTTAAATGGAAAATTACACCCTTACATTCAGACCCTTGCTTGGGAGCCTGCCCCAAGAGGTGTGTGCTGGCACCAGTTACAGTGCCCAGAACCACCATAGCAGTGTTCATCCTGCAGCTTGCACTCAGACCTCCTTCAGGACCGTGGCGCTGCTGTATCACAGCTCCTGAAACTTGGCTATGAGAACTCAAAGCAGTGTGCCAGGCTGTCTGAGAGCGTCCACGCATTAGAGCGTGGACCAGGGTGCTGGTAGACATGGCCACGATTGCTTGCCGCTGGAAGCTGGAAGTGTAGGTAGCTTAGCTCCTGCTGCTAAGCCATGGAGAGGAACAGGAGCCACTGTCCCACACATGCCATGCTGGCCAAATCCTTGACCAGGTTTTCACTGATAATGAACTCCTACATCTAGTTCCTGAAGGTATCTAGCTTCAGGCTGGAGGGCAGTTGGAGCGTGTGCACCCAGGGGGATGACAAGAAGCTCTGTGTGCACATGGTGCTACATGCTACATGCTACCGCAGGCCTCTCACAAGTCCTTTCCCTGCAGCCGGAGCGTGTGCACCCAGGATGATAAGATGCTCTGTGGGCACATTCTCGCTGTCACCATGGTACCGCACAGCCTGTCACAAGTCCTTTCCTTGTCATAAGTGGACCACAAGCTCAGCCACTTTCTGAACATGCACCTGTTCAGATCCCCCAGGATCTGGGCCATTGCTGCTGCTTCTGGAGGGTGCTGGGAGCGCCGGAACCTGACCTGGCCATTGTGACTGTCATCTGGATGACAGTGCAGCCAGCCAATCCTGTCCCCTCCTTGATCAGCTCAGTGGGGAGGTTTCAGACATAAGTGCACAAATGGACGATGAAAGGCAGCCAGCGGCTCTCAATAAGCAGGGCAAGTCCTCAAGTAACAGATGGGAGGATTATTTAGGAACTCCAGTTGTCCAGAGCTCTAGAAGCTTGTAGGCCTGCCTGAGAGCCATCTGTCTTTTCTAAGACTATAGGCCCCACCTCCAGTACTAAGTCTGATACTGCCTTTTGGGAAAAAGGAGGCAGGGGACGGTGGAAGGTGTTTCCACTTTTTTTGTTTTGTTTTGTTGTGGGGGGGGGGCTGTCCTGGGACTTGAACTGAAGGACTGAGAGCTGTCCCTGAGCTTTTTGCTCAAGCTAGCACTTTACAACTTGAATCACAGTTCCACTTCCAGCTTTTTAGTGGTTAATTGGAAATACTTTCCTGCCCCAGCTGGCTTTGAACTGTGATCCTCAGATCTCCTCCTCCTGAGTAGCTAGGATGACAGACGTGAGGCACCCATGTGGCTTCATTTCAGTTTTGTGAGGCTGGGCCCACATTTACACTTGCTCCTCCCTCAGGGATGCTGTATGGAAGATGTTCCCCAGTGTGAGAAAAGCAGTATTTTCTGTCCAGCCAATGTGCTTCTGTCTTGTGCGTTTACGTTTTTTGGTGTTGATGTTTCTTGGAATTACTTGCATTTTTAATACTTTCTGTGCTGCTTGTGACTAGCTAGCCATGGGAGTCAGTGGGGAGGGAAATCTGTGTTGAAGAAGTTAAAATAATAGATGGTTGCTGTTAAAAAGGGAACTCTTTACAGAGAAGTGTTAGCGGGAGCTTTCCACTGACCTCATCAACCTCCTCTGTCCATCTCAGTTCCAGATAGATGGGATGAAAACAGCAAACCTTTGATAGGTGTTAAAGAATGGCCCCCTTTCTAATCGTGGTAATCAAACGTGCATAGAATATGAGCCTGACTCCCTGACAAGGAGGGGCAGTCTGGATTGGGATGAAAACCTAGCAAACTGCCCTGCCCAGCGTGCATGCCCAGCTCTGGGTAGAGAAATGGTATTGTATCCTTCTCCAAAAAAGTTGCCTTGATGAAATCTCCTGTATCTCTTGTGTGTTTATTCGTTTCTGACACCAGAGAGTTGTGCATTTCTAACATCAGGATACATGTAGTTGATAGAATTGCATACTTAAAAATGGCCAAGATGGAGAACTTTGTTACATGTGTCAAGGGACAAAATTTCAACAAATTGAGTTTAGTGATCAGCTTGACTTTGGTTGGTGAGCTCTGTGGGCTGGCAGCATCCATCTGAGAAGGGGGTTGGCACCAATGGTCAGCCTGTGTGGCCCTGTCCAGCGACAGCACTACTAAAGCTGAGTACCCATTACCTGACTTTTGTAACTGTAACCCCTCTGTACCCCGGTGAGGGTTAAGTTTAGGGTTAGGGTGAGGGTGAGGGTTAGATAGAGGATTAGTGTTAGGGTTAGTGTGAGGGTTAGGGTGAGGATGAGGGTTAAGGTTAGGGTGAGGGCTAGGGTGAGGGTGAGGGTTAGGGTTAGTGTTAGGGTGAGGTTTAGGGTTTGGGTGATGGTTAGGGTTAGTGTGACGGTTAGTGTTAGGGTTAGGGTTAGTGTTAGGGTGAGGGTTAGAGTTAGGGTGAGGGTTATGTTTAGGGTGAGGGTTAGGGTTAGGGTTATTGTTAAGTTTAGCTTTATGGTTATGGTGAGGGTAAGGGTGAGGGTTAGGGTTGGGGTTAGGTTGAGGTTTAGGTTTAAGGTTAGGGTTAGAGTTAGGGTTAGGGTGAGGGTAAGTTTTAGGGTTTGAGTTATGGTTAGTGTTAGGGTTAGGCTTAAGGTGAGGGTTAAGGTTAGGGTTAGGCTTAGGCTGAGGATGAGGGTGAGGATTAAGGTTAGGTTTAGGGTGAGGGTTAGAATTAGTGTTAGGGTGAGGGTTAGGATGAGGTTTAGGGTTAGGATTAGGGTTAGTATGAGGGCTAGGGTGAGGGTGAGGGTTAGGGTTAGGGATAGGGTTAGGTTAAGATTAAGGTTAGGGTGAGAGTGAGTGTGAGCGTTAGGGTTAGGCTTAGGGTTAGGGAGGGCGTTAGGGTTAGGGTTTGGTTTAGGGTGAGGCTGAGGATTAGGTTTAGGTTTAGGGTTAGGGTAAGAGTTAGGGTTAGGGTGAGGGTGAGGTTTAGGGTTAGAGTTAGGGTTCAGTTGAGGGTTAGGATGAGGTTTAGCATTAGGGTTAGTTTTAGGTTTAGGGTAAGGGTGAGGTTTAGGTTTAGGGTTATGGTTAGGATTAGGGTTAGGGTGAGGGTGAGTGTGTGGGTTAAGGTTAGGTTTAGGGTTAGGCTTAGGCTTAGGCTGAAGGTCAGGTTGAGGGTGAGAGTTAGGGTTAGGGTGAGGGTTAGGGTTAGGGTGAGGGTTAGGATGTCGTTAGGGTTAGGATTAGGGTTAGGGTGAGGGCTAGGGTGAGGGTGAGGTTAGGGTTAGAGTTAGGATGAGGTTTAGGGTTAGGGTTAGAGTTAGGGTCAGTGTGAGTTTGACGTTTATGGTTAGAAATAGAGTTAGGGTTAGGGTTAGGGTTAGGGTTAGGGTGAGGGTTAGAGTTAGGGTTAGTGTTAAGGTTAGGGTTAGGGTGAGGGTGTGTGTTAGGATTAGGGTTAGGATTAGGATGAGGGTTAGGGAGAGGGTGAGTGTGAGGGTTAGGGTCAGGTTTAGGGTTAGACTTAGGGTTAGGCTGAGGGTGTGGGTGAGTGTGAGGGATAGGGTTAGGGTAAGGGTTAGGGTAAGGGTTAAGGTTAGGTGAAGATTAGGATTAGGGTTAGGGTTATGGTTAGGGTGAGGGTGAGGGTTAGGGTTAGGGTGAGGGTTAGGATGTCGTTAGGGTTAGGATTAGGGTTAGGGTGAGGGCTAGGGTGAGGGTGAGGTTAGGGTTAGAGTTAGGATGAGGTTTAGGGTTAGGGTTAGAGTTAGGGTCAGTGTGAGTTTGACGTTTATGGTTAGAAATAGAGTTAGGGTTAGGGTTAGGGTTAGGGTTAGGGTTAGGGTGAGGGTTAGAGTTAGGGTTAGTGTTAAGGTTAGGGTTAGGGTGAGGGTGTGTGTTAGGATTAGGGTTAGGATTAGGATGAGGGTTAGGGAGAGGGTGAGTGTGAGGGTTAGGGTCAGGTTTAGGGTTAGACTTAGGGTTAGGCTGAGGGTGTGGGTGAGTGTGAGGGATAGGGTTAGGGTAAGGGTTAGGGTAAGGGTTAAGGTTAGGTGAAGATTAGGATTAGGGTTAGGGTTATGGTTAGGGTGAGGGTTAGGGTTAGGGTTAGATTTACGCTGAGGGTGAGGGTTAGGGTTAGGATGAGGTTTAGCTTTAGGGTGAGGGTTAAGTTGAAGGTGAGGTTTAGGATTAGGATTAGGGTTAGGGTTAGGGTAAGGGTGTGGTTTGGGGTTAGGATTAGAGTCAGGGTTAGGGTTATTGTTAGGGTTAGGGTTATTGTTAGGGTTAGGGTTATGGTTAGGTTTAGGGTGAGGATGAGGGTGAGGTTGAGGTTGAGTGTTAAGGTTAGGATGAAGTTTAGGGTTAGCGTTAAGGTTAGGGTTAGGGTGAGGGTTTGGGTTAGGTTTAGGGCTAAGATGAGGGTTAGGCTGAGGGGTAGGGTTAGGGTTAGGGTGAGGGTTAGGATTAGTGTGAGGGTTAGGTTTAGGGTTAGGGTGAGGGTAAGGATTACGGTGAGGGTTAGGGTGAGGGTTAGTGTTAGGTTTAGGTTTAGGGTGAGGGTTCGGGTTGGGTTAGGGTTACTGTGAGGGTGAGGGTTAGGTGTAGGGTGAGGGTTAGGGTTAGGTTTAGGGTGTGGGTGAGGGTTAGGATTAGAGTTAGGTTTAGTGTTAGGTTTAGGTTTAGGGTGAGGGTTAGTGTGAGGGTTAGGGTTGGGTTTAGGGTGAGGGTTAGTGTGAGGGTAAGGATTAGGGTGAGGGTTAGGGTGAAGGTGAGTGTTAGGGTTAGGCTGAGGGTTAGGGTCAGGGTTAGGGTTAGGATGACAGTTAGCTTTAGGGTGAGGGTTAAGTTGAGGGTGAGGTTTAGGATTAGGATTAGGGTTGGGGTTAGGGTTAGTGTGTGGGTTTGGGTTAGGATTACAGTTGGGGTTAGGGTTATTGTTAGGGTTAGGGTTATGGTTAGGTTTAGGGTGAGGGTGAGGTTGAGGGTGAGTGTTAGGGTTAGGATGACATTTAGGGTTAGGGTTAAGGTTAGGGTTAGGGTGAGGGTTTGGGTTAGGTTTAGGGTTAGAATGAGGGTTAGGCTGAGGGGTAGGGTTAGGGTTAGGGTGAGGGTTAGGGTAAGTGTGAGGGTTAGGTTTAAGGTTAGGGTGAGTGTAAGGATTACGGTGAGGGTTAGGGTGAAGGTTAGTGTTAGGTTTTGGTTTAGGGTGAGGGTTCGGGTTAGGGTTAGGGTTACTGTGAGGGTGAGGGTTAGATTGATGGTGAGGTTTATGGTTAGCATTAGTGTTAGTGTGAGGGTGAGGGTTAGGGTTAGGGTGAGGTCTAGTGTGAGGGTGAGGGTTAGGGTTAGGGATAGGGTGAATATTAGGGTTAGGATTAGGGTTAGGGTGAGTGTTAGGCTGAGGGGTAGGGTTAGGGTTAGTTTGAGGGTTAGGTTTAGTGTGAGGGTTATAGTTAGTGTTAGGGATAGGGTGAGGGTAAGGGTTAGGGTGAGGGTTAGGGTGAGGGTGAGGTTTAGGGTTAGCATTAGGGTTAGGGTTAGGGTGAGGTTTAGGTTTAGGTTTAGGGTTAGGGTGAGTGTGAGGATGAGGGTTAGAATTAGGGTTAGGGTGAGGGTTAGGGTTAGCATTAGGGTTAGCGTGTGGGTTAGGGTTAGGTTTAGGGTGAGGGTGAGGGTTAAGGTGTGGGTGAGGGTGAGGTTTAGGGTTAGGAATAGGGTGAGGGTGAGGGTGAGTGTGAGGGTTAGGGTTAGGAATAGGGTTAGGGTGAGGGTGAGTGTGAGGGTGAGGTTTAGGGCTAGGTTAGGGTGAGGGTTAGGGTTAGGGTGAGGGTTAGGGTTAGGGTGAGGGTTAGGTTGAGGGTTAGGGTTTGGGTTAGGTTTAGGGTTAGGGTTAGGGTGAGGGTTAGGGTTTGGGTTAGGGTTAGGGTGTGGGTTAGGGTTAGGGTTAGGGTGAGGGTTAGGGTTAGCGTTAGGGTTAGGGTGTGGGTTAGGGTTAGGTTTAGGGTGAGGGTTAGGGGTTAGGGTTAGGGGTTAGGGTTAGGGTTGGGGTTGGGGTTGGGGTTGGGGTTGGGGTTAGGGTTAGGGTTGGGTTAGGGTTGGGTTAGGGTTAGGGTTAGGGTTAGGGTTAGGGTTTAGGGGTTAGGGGTTAGGGTTAGGGTTAGGGTTAGGGTTAGGGGGTTAGGGTTAGGGTTAGAGGGTTAGGGTTAGGGTTAGAGGGTTAGGGTTAGATAGTTAGGGTTAGGGTTAGAGGGTTAGGGTTAGGGTTAGAGGGTTAGGGTTAGAGGGTTAGGGTTAGGGTTAGAGGGTTAGGGTTGGGGTTGGGGTTGGGTTAGGGTTAGGGTTGGGGTTAGGCTTAGGGGTTAGGGTTGTGGTTGGGGTCGGGGTCGGGGTCGGGGTTGGGGTCGGGGTTAGGGGTCGGGGTCGGGGTTAGAGGGTTAGGGTTAGGGTTAGGGTTGGAGGGTTAGAGGGTTAGGGTTAGAGGGTTAGGGTTAGAGGGTTAGGGTTAGGGTTAGGGTCAGGGTCAGTTAATTATGAGTGTCAATCATGCCTCTATTACTAACTACAAAAATAAGATGTATTTCAAAATACTTGAAAAAAAAGCTATGAGGAAGATGTAATCGTTTAAGATGTATCACTAGGAAAGTTATAGGTACTCAATGTTTTGTTAAAGACCTTCAACCTTGGACAAAATATCCTTCTGCTGACCCTTAATTTTCCAACAACGGTAAGTAAATTGAAAATATGTAAAATCTGTATTAAAACACTGTTAAAATTCTGAGCAGAAGACAAGCTCATCTATCAGCCACCTCTGTATCACCAAAGAGAAAAGTGTACAGATAGCCCATAGCCTCTGTGTGTCCAGAGGAACCTCGGTGCATCTTTATACCCTATTCATACTAGATGAATATAGGTAACCACTACACTTGCACAACATAGCGTTACATCACAACACTCATTAGTAGTCTGTCTTTTGATCAAATGTCACCATTTTAATGATACCAGATTTGTTACCAATATTTCTTATATTAAATAAAAATCTCAACTTACTCTTCAGCAGGTAGGCCAATTAACAACAACTTGTCAAACTCTTTCAAGTAAGCTATATGAATTTGCTTCCCATTTAAAAGGAGGGATGAACTAAGGAAAAATAAATTCAAGAAGTTAGATTATCTTTAAATGTCATAAAGTTAACTTATTTGTAAGCTTTGGCATGACTTAAACAGTATGATTTTAAAAGTCAATATTAAATATGCAAATTTCTGTCATAAAGAAAAGGTAGGGAATTACATCAGAACAAAAATACTTTCTAAAATTTTTAAAAAACAGAAACAATCCAAATTAATATAGGCCAACCAAAAGTAGACTCATTGTTTTCTTCAAAAGAAAGTTTCCATACCAGTTGGTATATTATACCTTTGCTCACTTTTGAATATGACATGCTAAAGGAAGCCATCCCAGCTCAGAAGTTGACAGTCCACTCTGGGATTTAAATATATAAACAAGTAACCAAAACATAACTCAGACATTAAGAATGTTCTCAAGGAAACTCTTGGGGGTAATGGGTATGTTAACTATGGAATAGTTTTGAGGACATATACTTAGGTCAAAACTGATAAAACTGTGTATTTTACACCTGCACAATTTATGTCGAGTACATGTCATGAAGCAGCAAAAAGCTAATGTATTCTCAAAAGAGACACAATGAATCATGGAAATACAGAGAATGTAAGTGCATAGATTTTTAAATATGTATGAATTACCAAACATCTTTATTACTATTTTTAATGTTTTTCTTTACTATTTTATGTACTCATTTAAAAATGAATACTTTTACAAAGGTTTCTATTTTTTTTCCTTTTTTAATTTTTTATTTTTTGATTAAGTGATTATATACTTTCCCAAATTTCACAATATTGTGGGATAGTGATCCTCAGTTAAAGTCACAAACACATTCTAACTTTCCTGGAGCAAATTGTCTATCACGGTCTATAACATTTATGAGTTCTATGAGCTTTGCAATACAGTTATTTCTTCCACATTGGGTGGTATGTACATTTCTTTTGTTTTGCATAGCGTCAGCTGTTCCCTCTTTCCCATTTGCTCCCCCCCTCCCATCGCTGCCATTAAGTTGCTTAGTTCATTTTGGTCAATGTCCAGTGCAGCTAATGGGTCCCACTGTTGTATGTTTTTCCCTGATTCCCTCTAATTCTGTGTCGTCTTCCTGGTTCCCCTCCAGTGTACACATATATACTATACGTGTGATCAGCAGCATGGGGTTATTTAGTAGTGGTTCGACCAGATGAGTGGAAGTTCTTTGTTTCTTAAGTCCCGTTAATTTTGTCATATCACCTAACATTTTTACAAAGGTTTTTAAAAGTATGAATGCACCAAGATATTCATATTGCTAAGGAACCCCTAAAATAGTAAAAATCACATCTATTGTTTCTTTAAAATTATTTCTCTGGTTTTACTGTACATGTTTAACTCATACCTCATCACTAATAACAAGACCTAAATATTAAATAAGATAATTATCTATCCCATAAGGTATTAAAAAAGAGCAGCCAGGCGCTGGTGGCGAACCCATGTAATCCTAGCTACTCAGGAGGTTGAGATCTGAGAATTGAGGTTCAAAGCCAGCCCAGGCAGGAAAGGCCATGAGACTTTTATCTCCAATAAACTACCCAAAAAAGCTTCAAGTGGAGCTGTGGCTCAAGTGGTAGAGCACTCACCTCAAGCTGAAGAGCTCAGGGACAGCGCCTGGGCCCAGAGTTCAAGACCCACAACCAACAACTACAAAAATAAATAAATAAAAAAAGAACCTACATGAAGAAATTCAATTTTATTTTTCCTTCTCAGTGCCAGGGATTGAACCTAGCACATTGCCACACTACTGAGCTAGCTACATACATAGCCTTTTACATAAAGAAACATAAAACAAGGTGCCTTTTAAAAGGAGACCTGCACCTCAAAAATACTATGGCAAATGGTAGAAGACAGTCACAAGTAATCACATATATGATTCCATTCATACATGTATAGGGCTTGGACAGGGTACAGTTAAGCAAGCTGGTAGCTAAAAGGCACAGCATTTCTCTCTGAGGTGATAAAACTGTTCTAAAATTGACTTTGGGGTAGTTATACATATCTGAATATAAATCAAAGTATTACTTGTACACCTTTAAAATCTGTGATTTTATGAATTTTATGTTTATGAATTCTATTTCTCAACAAACCATTTAAAAAGGGAAAGGGGGGGGAAGCCAGGTTCAGGTGGCTCATACCTGAAGCAACTCAGGAGGCTGAGAGCTGAGGATACTGGCTTAAAGCCAGCCAGGACAGGAAGTCCATGAATGGAGCTGTGGCTCTCAAGTGGTAGAGTGCTGGCCTTGAGCTAGAAAGCACAGGCATTAATAATGCCCAGGCACTGAGTTCAAGCCCCAGGATGGACTGAACGCACACGCCACATGCACATACCACACATACCCCCTCCCCGCCCCACACAGGTGAAAAATAGGACTAGGGGTACAGCACAGTGGTATAGAGCATTTGCCCCGCAAAGTGGGAGGCCTCATTGTAAAATGAAATATAAATACAAATAAAAAGAGGTCTGGTAAAGTGCTTTTATAAATGCAATTTATACCCTAAATGAGGTTTTGAGTACTACTGTTGACAGAATGAACTAATTTCTATTTATGACCACATTAAAACTCATGGATTTAAGCATGACTTTTATCTAGGAAAACAAATTCTTCCTATTCTCTAACAGACACTACCTTTTAAAATGTAATAGTATAATATTTATGAGAAAGTAGGAAAAGGAAAAACAGCCTTAAAACTCCAACTTATTATTTCATGAGTAATACAGGGCTCTTAAAATTGGAAATTTTTATAAGCTCCAAATGTAATGAAATATTAAGGAAAAAAATCATCATTTTTATAAAAACAAACTTCAAAAGCATTGAATTCTCTCATCTCAAATTAATTAGGGTACTTTAAAGTCGGGGCTTGATAAATCAATTTGGAATGGGTGTTTGGCTCTATAGCTAACTATACAATGTTAGAACTTTTCTTTTTCCCTTAAGTGCTAGTAATCATTTCCACAGCTTCATATATGCTAGACAACTGCTTTAGGAGTGAATTACATCTCCAGCCCTAATGTTTAAAATTTGAATTTGCAGCAAGCACTAGTGGTTCTTGCCTATAATCCTAGCTACTCAGGAGGCTGAGACCAACCAAGACTGTAATTCCAAGCCAGACTGGCAGAAAAAGTCTATTGAGATTTTTTTTTCCAATTAACCAGCAAAAAGCAAAGCTGGAGGCATGGCTCTGAGTATAAGCTATAAGCAAGAAGCCGAGAAAGCAGTAGGCCCAGAGTCAAATCCTAGTACCCTCCTATACTCACACACAAAAATTATTTGACATTAATTTTGCTTACAGGGGACAATAAATTCTGAATATATATCCTAAAGTAATTACTGTATTTTTCTATCACTATACTACACTATACTTTTCTATCACTTCTGTGAAAACAGTATTTTTTTCTGTGAAAAAAATCACTATTTAGTCATTCTTGCCAACTACAAAAGCATTGTCTAACAAAGTAACAATCACAGTAAAAACAGGAAGAAGCTGGAATCATAATTCCATGCTGAAAAAAGATAATACTTTTATGAAGAACTTATTATTTTTTTGGGTCTGGTAGTGGGGCCTGAACTCTGGGCCTGGGCGCTGTCACTTAGCTCTTCAGCTCAAGGCTAGCGCTCTACCACTTGGGCCACAGCGCCACTTCCGGCTTTTTTCTTTTTTGCTTATGTGGTGCCGAGGAATCGAACCCAGGGCCTCATGCATACAAGGCAAGCGCTCTACCACTGAGACACCTTCCCAGCCCTATGAAGAACTTAAAACACTATTCATTAAAATGTGCCCAAACACCCAGCTCTATAGCTGTATTGAAAAATCTACTATATAAGTCAAGTAGATGACTCTGGGCATAATGCCAATGAACAAAATATCTGCAGATATCCCATCAATACAGATACCTACACATTATAGATACCAGTATATGCAGCACTTCAGAACCAGATACACTCAAGAAAAGAACTAAATAGAAATTAATGATTACCTGGTAACTTGTGTCCCGGTTACATTTTCCAGCATGTCACAGAGTGTGAGAAAAATCCCTCTCACATTTTTTAGTTTCTGAGATGCTTCAGACTTTGGATAATGATACAGAATTTCCTGCTGTTAAATGAAAGGAAACATAAATGATGAACTCTCTCTACACCAAAATTTCCAACTATTATTTTTGTTGTGGCAAGTTCAGATTCTGTATCAAGAACAGAAAAGATAATCTTTTCAATTTCAGTGAGGTTTTATACCCATGGAAGAAGCATGCCTTGAATCTTTAAATTAGCATTTAAAACAACCCATTTGCCAATGTGCCTTCTTAGGCTTTGGGGTCAGATTTACCATTCCATTTTGTGCCGCTATAAAATCCTCCTTCTCTCTAGATAATAAATTAAATTAAAACTATATTTGAAAATAAGTCAGAAACTGCCAATTGGTCATATTACTAAAATATATACTAATTAGGATACTGATTATTTGAAATTACAATTTCTAAGTCTTTTAAACTTTAATCACTGTTAACAATTTCTATTCTTAATCTTTCATTACATTTCATTCTGTATGTATTCTTATTACCTACAGTTAATAGAACTTTACACACCACATGGAACTATCAGGAGTCTTCAAATACAAATTCCTTCAACTGGCTTATAAAAGATCATTTCTTCATTTGGGATAAAATCATAAAATATGTATTTAAATTTAAGACAAAACTGCAATTATACTTGCAAAGTGAGAATGCAACAATAAAGTAGTATAAATAGAAAGCATATGGTGATGTTTTATAATCTTACCCTTCTTAAATTTGAAAGTATTTGCATACTACAAATTAATTTAAATTCAAATGTTAAAGGAGAGTATATGTTATTCTAGTCAGTAAGATAATCCACAAATGGTTTTTAAGAATGTGCAGCTGGGTGCTGGTGGCTCACACTTGTAATCCTAGCCACTCAGGAGGCTGCGCTATAAGGATCGAGGTTCAAAGCCAGTCTGACCTAGAAAGTCCAAGTAACCACCAGAAATCCAGAAGTGGCGCTGTGGCTCAAGTGATAGAGTGCTCACCTTGAGCTGAAGAGCTGAGGGATAGCGCCCAGGCCCAGAGTTCAAGCCCCACAACCGACAAAAAAAAAAAAAGAAAAGAAAAAAAAAAAAGAATGTGAGGTGTTTCTCTATTTTCAAGAACAGTATATTCCAAGTATACAAACAGCTGATTAAAATAAACTAATAAGGCTGGGCTCCAATGGCTAAGACCTGTAATCCTACTTAAAAGGCTGAGATCTGAACATCATTGTTCCAAGCCAGCCGGGGCAAGTCCATAAGACTCTTATCTCCAATTTACCATCAGAAAACTGGAAATGGAGCTGTGGCTTAAGTGGTAGAGTGTTAGCCTTGAGCTGAAGAGCTCAGAGACAGCACCCAGGCCCAGAGTTCAATACCCACAACCAACCAACCAACATACATACATAGATAAAATAATAAATCGCTCAGGATGTGCAATGTGCTAGTATTTGTAATAAGTGTGTGTGCGCACGCGCACCCACGCACACACCAGTACTGGGACTTCAACTGATGGCCTAATGCTCTCGCTTGGCTTTCCACTCACAGATGTCAGTGTACCACTTGAGCCTCCAGTCCATCTTAATACTTTTCAAACACAAAAATATGAGCCATTGTATTTCTCACTTTTTGCTGCTAATTAGGCAACATCTAAATTTCTCACAAGGCAACTCAAAAACAAGCAAAATAAAAACATCTGGTTGGAAACCAGGAATGATTCAGAGTGGCTTTCAGTTCCTCACAGATTAACAGTCACAAGCCTGATCTCCTCAAGCATTATCCTATCTCCTTGATTCTCTCTATAGTTTATCTTGTGTTAGAAGATAATTATTTGTGTTAGAAATCATTACTAACATGATGACCATATACTGGAATTTTTTTTTTTTTTGGGGGGGGGGGTCAGGTCGTGCACACTACCACTTGAGCCATAGCACCACTTCCGGCTTTTTTTTTCTGCTTATGTGGTGCTGAGGAATCGAACCCAGGGTCTCAAGCATACAAGGCAAGCGCTCTACCACTGAGCCACCTTCCCAGCCCCCATATACTGGAATTTTTACAACTGGACAAATATAAATAATGATAAACTAGAAATAGCTGCTTTGGGACTGAAAATGTGGCTTAGTGGTAGAGTGCTTGCCTAGCATATATGAAGCCCTGTGTTCGATTCCTCAGTACCACATAAACAGAAAAAGCTGGAAGTGACGCTGTGGCTGGCTTTGAACCACGATCCTCAGATTTCAGCCTCCTGAGTAGCTAGGATTACAGGCGTGAGCCACTGGCATCCGGCTCAAACTTTCTTATAATATTTCCACTGTAACAAAACATTATTTTATCCTTAGAAATTAAGTCAAACATCAATTAAGGTCTTCTGCTTTGTCTATCTAACACATACGTTTAAATGCTTATTAATAAGTACTTTCACACTGGTTTAGCTGAAACATCAAACACCATTTCAAACAATCTGATTAGTTTTTCAAATCTCTTAGATTATAGTCCTTACAGTCTACATCTTGTAGCTAAAAAATGACAAGTTTTTACCAAATACATAATGTCATAAAAAAGCAGAATGAAGAGTATTTCAAGATTCTCATTAAAAATAAAAGCTCAAACAAAATGACCCTATGACATTGCATTGAGGAGTAGTATGACTAGTAAAAGAGACCATTTTAATAGGTCTCTATACTAATCACAAACCCTTAGTATTAAAGACCTGGCAACCTCTTCAGTTATTACCCAATTTAACTAGCTGCATTTTTAAGCACTTGTTAATAGTATGCATTTGCAGCAGCCTCTACTCTGTTCAATAAGAATAAAAAGCCTTCCCTAATTACATAGCTAGAAGAGACAGAAACCTGTTCACACTTCCCCAGGGAAAAAGAGGCAAGGATGACAAAAGGCCTTAGTAGTGCCCTACTCCAAAGCAACCTGGAATAATGCTGGATGTTATCCTTGACATTTGTTGGATGTTTTATATAATAAATTCCTAAGTGTCACTTGTTTTAGAGATATAAGGGGCCACTATTACACACAAGAAATAAGAATGATTAATTCTAGGTCTCAATATGTTGCTCAGAACAAAGAAAATGATTTAAAAAACATAGTACATTCCTTTTTTGCCATGTAATAATTCATTATATATGAACCATTCATTGACAGATGAACCACACAGGAAATGTAGGGAATAGAGGCTTAAAAAATTCAGAATAGTTAAACATTTTTCAGATCTCACTTTTGCTCAGAGAATTATATTAGACTAAATGCTTTGAGAGAGCTTTCTATTGTAAAAATAGCTTCCTGGCTAGTTGAACTGATGGCATGCAAGAAGTACTGAGGTTTCTAAGGCATCCTCTACATATTCTTCCACCCTCCTCAGCCATCACTACAAAAGAAGCTGGGATTCAGCTAGGAGTTCTGCATGCTGAGCAAAAGGACAGAGATAGCAATATCCTAAGGGTTGATGCTTACGATAGCTTCAACAGAATGCTGGGCTAGTGGCAAGCTGAGCCACCATGTACCACTGCAGTAAACTGAGTCCAGATCCTCAGGCAATGCTAAAGTGCCCCTTAATTAGGGGGCAGAAATTGAAGTACAAGAGAGAGAATGCTAGAGAGTATTCCCACTTTACAAATATCAGACTTCCAAGATAAAAATCAAGCAGTAAGTTCAGACAAAGATCCTTAAAAAGACATAAGAAAATGGAGTTGGGAAGGTGGCTCAGTGGTAGAGTGCTTGCCTTGCATGCCTGAGGCCCTGGGTTTGATTCCTCAGCACCACATAAGCAAAAAGAAAAAAGCCGGAAGTGGCACTGTGGCTCAAGTGGTAGAGCGCTAGCCTTGAGCTGAAGAGCTGAGGGACAGCACCCAGGCCCAGAGTTCAGGCCCCACGACCGGACCCCCCTCCCCGCCCCCAAAAAAAGACAGAGAAACTGCTTGCTGTGGTTTAAATCTTAAATGAACCCATTTTCCTATAGTAGTCTTTGGTTGCCAGAGGACAGGCCTAGTGGAAAGAAGACTTTGCTCCTAGGACTTTGCTGGGACTTTTTCCTGACAAAAAAAAATGACAGACTGACTTCAATGATAGAACTCTAAAGACAAAGGAATATTATTTCAAAATCTGAGAAATGTGTTTGTTTAAAGTTTTTAAATTGATATTTGTAACTTGTGTAGACGTGTCATTTTTCCAACAGTATTTATTGAAGAGACTGTCCTTTCCCCATTTTCTTGTCTCCTATGTTGCTCTAAATGCATAAAGATATATCTGGACTCTATTATGTTCTCTTGGTCATCTAGGTTTCTGTTTCTATGTCAAACTCATGTTGTTTTAGTTATATTTAGCTTTGTGGTATATATCAAGGTCTGGTAGCATAATATCTCCACAGCTTTGTTCTTTAAGCTCAAAAATCTCTGTAGATGTGGTTTCTATTCAAATTTCAGGATTCTATTTAGGCCTTTCTGAGTGGTAACTGGAGATAAGAATCTCATGGATTGGCTTCAAATCCCAATCTTCCGATCTCTACCTCCCGCATAACTAGGATTACAGGTGTGATCCTCCAGGGCCCTGCTAGATTATTTTCTTATTTATGACTAAAAAGACATAAAATCTAGCCAGGTGCTGGTGGCTCATGCCTGTAATCCTAGCTACTCTGGTGACTGAGATTTGAGGATCGCAATTAGAAGCTAGCCCGGGCAGAAAAAGTCTGTGAGATTCTTATCTCCAATAAAGTGCTCAGAAAAAGCCAGAAGTGGTGCTGTGGCTCAAGCCTTGAACACAAAGAGGGTCAGGGACAGCATTCAGGCCCTGAGTTGAAGTCCCAGGACTGCCCCCCCTCAAAAAAAAAAGGCATAAAATCTAATACCACACCAGACACACTTGTTTAAAAAACACTGAGATATGAATTAAAAATATGTAAAACATAAACGGGAAGAGGTAACTGATTACAAAATGTGAGAACCTTTCATGACGTTTACACAACTATATTTGTACTTATTTGTCAAAACTCAACAAATTGTCCATTTAACACCGTTTAGTTTAATATATAAAAAGCAATACCTCAATAAAGACTAATCAAAAAAGGAGTTCAGGATAACAAGAGTACAGGGGAACAGGAGCTTAGCTTGTAAGCTAGAAGATACTGCAATAGTATCTTCTTTCTCTTTTTCCTACTGCTTGAAACAACTAAATAGTTAATTCACTTATGTTTAAAAAAACATTTGTTGTGTGAAACATTCATAAATAAAATACACAAGGAATAAGTCTGAAAATAGGTTACTCGCTTTAATTCTTCCCTAAATCAAAATAAAACATGCCTACATTTACTGAAAAGACTACAAAAGGTCCTTACTTTTTACCTTCCACTTTCAAGCACACACTCACCTCTTCCTTTGAGGTTTCCGAGTCAAGATGCAGTGTGAGATACATGATGATGTGTGGAGAATGTGGAGGATTCTGGATGCTGTCAACCTCCTCTCCCCAGAAGAGCTTCACTAAATCACTTGTGTTTGTCTGTGTCTTTTTCTTTCTTGGTTGGATAGTTTCCTTTTTCACAGCATATGCATTTTCAAATGTCAGTTTCACCTTAAAAATTAAGATGAGGCAAAATTGGCTGCATTTTTCCAAGAAGGTGTACACTGTATGGATAAGTCATTCTAGAGCAAAGAGTCCTGATAGAAGAGGTTATATGTTCCACTGGTTTATACTTGTATCTAGCTTCTTGCACAGTGTCTGACCAGTATAAAACTTTACTGAGGAGTAATTTAATTTATTTGTTCTTAATTATTGACTACAAAAACAAGAAATGCCATGAAAAGATCAGAATTTAGTATGAAGTGAGAATGTATTCAAGTTATACTACATTATTATACTGATAGCACTGAGTCAACTGAAAGAGATAAAATGAAGAGACAAAGGATCAAGATCAACTTCACACAACCAGATTTTACTTTCTTTTCAAATGGGGTACTTCAAGTATTTTCTCAGACATTCTTTGTGATCTTTTACAGTAAAGACCAATGATGGTAAAACCTGTCAACACAATAGGTCCTGGACCATAGCCTTAAGATAAACGGTCAGTTCTATCAACATAGTTTTAGCTTTGTACCCTAACCTTAAGATTGGTAAGAATATGTCCATTTTCCAACTGCCAAAAGGTAGAAGTAATACATTTAGCATACTGCCTGCCATATGGGAACATCAGTCCCCTTCCCTATTTTACTCCTGGCTCCATCTAGTTCTACTTACAGGGCCTCAGGGAAATGGCTGTAACAGAAAACCCCCTTTCAACAATAAAAAAGGAAAACATGGTCTATTTTGGTTTCTAGTTAAGAAGTCTAAATTCTATATAGTTATTAGCCATTCATTACCTAAACACAGGTGCTCGTTTTTTGAGAAAGACACAGTTATAATACCCAATCTACTAGCAAAACTAACAAATGTTTATACACAGAAAATAACATCATAATAAAGTACACTAAAATATTATAGTAGTTGAGTACTGGAGAAATTTGTTCCTTAGTTACTTTTTTGTGGTTTCCAAAATATAATACTATAGATGCATTACCTTTATAATATACATCTTTCTAAAATAATAGATTTAATGATATTTGCTCATGATGGGATTATATTCTGAAGTTGTATATAAACAAAGTATCTTCAAAATTGTATTAGGGAAGCAATGCCATTTTGGAGTACAATATAGTTTCTCAATGCATAAATTTAACTCAGTTCTTCTTCCATTCTTAAAGTAATCTCCTAACTGGGTGCCAGTAGCTCACATCTATAATCCTAGCTATTCAGGAAGCTAAGAAGTCAAGATCTCACAGTACAAAGAGAAGCCAGTGCAGGAAGGTCTGTGTGAGACTCATCTCCAATTAACTACCCACCTAACAAAAGCCAGAAGTAGAGCTGTGGCATAAAGCTGTGGCACTTTAAAGTTACACTGTATAAAAAATACAACCGCATATACTATTGCAAAATGCCTATCTTTCTTTAAAGTAGGACATGGACCAATAGCAAATACATAGTTGCTTTTGTATATTTACTGAAGATATGCCCAAAACAGTCAAACCATAATTTCTTTCTTTTCTTTTTTTTTTGGTGGGTTGTGGGGCTTGAACTCTGGGCCTGGGCGCTGTTCCTCAGCTCTTCAGCTCAAAGCTGGCGCTCTACCACTTGAGCCACAGCACCACTTCCAGTTTTCTGGTGGTTTACTGTAGGTAAGAGTCTCACAGACTTTCCTGCCAGGGCTGGCTCTGAACCATAATCCTCAGATCTTAGCCTCCTGAGTAGCTACATTTACAGGCCTGAGTCACCAGCACTCAGCTATTTCTTTCTTTCTTATGTTATGCTTATATACAAATGAATCTGCAATCATTAATTAAATGTAAGTATAATGTAATTTTATAGTAAATATAAACATGATTGAGTTCTGGCAAAATTGTCATTCCACCTGTACTGCAACTGACATAGGCAAGAAATGAAGAACTCTGATATGTAGCCACTTTATCTGGGGAAGGCTGGTTCAGCTGTGAAAATGCTACAATTCTTGGTTACTTATTTTTTACTAGCTGCTAAGTCTCTTGAGGTACCGTAGTACCTTGTCCCAACCAAGTCCTCTCCTAACATCTAGAGACTAAAGAGGATAATGGCGAATTGGTTTCTAAGGGCTAATATTTCAAACACCACCCTGTCTTTACCTATATCCGCTTAGCCATCTGTAGTCATTGCTTGTCCGTAGCTATCAGTTATTCCATTGTTCATTTTAACTTTCTAAGGATATCTAAATTTACAAAGTTAGTGGAAATGTATGGTGGTGTATTTCAGAGAAGATAGTGAATGTAAGAAATCTTATTTTTTAGAAAACAGGGAATTTCATCATGGATCTTATTACAGAATATCAAAGCAGATACATGATTCTGACATATCAAGGATTTTATTCATGTTAACGAATCTGAAAACTACTTCATCCTCTCACTGTCTGATGGATCCTCTAACCTACTTAAAGCATATAATGTCTACCTTCCAAGTAAGAGAACATTGAAAAGAGTATTCCTATGAAAAGGAAAAGAACTTTCAAAATGCATTGAGTATCTTAAAATGTAATTTATAATATAAAATGTTGATATTTAGAGTATCATGTCACTTATAGGAGAAATTTATTTTTAACTCCCAACAGTTCAGGATGAAAGCTTACCTAAGTAACAAAAATCAAGAAAATAGTATAAGTAGATACTAAAGTAAAACAGTATTAAAAATTTTCTAGCATGAATTGTTTCAAAAACTCAGAAAACAAGCTGGGCGCTGGTGGCTTATGCCTGTAATCCTAGCTACTCAGGAGGCTGAGATATGAGGATCGCAATTCAAAGCCAGCCCGGGCAGGAAAGTCCATGAGACTCATCTCCAATTAACCACCAGAAAACCAGAAGTGGCACTGTGGCTCAAGTGGTAGAGTGCCAGCCTTGAGCTGAAGAACTGAGGTACAGCGCCCAGACCCAGAGTTCAAGCCCTATGACTAACCAAAAAAGCAAAACAGGGGCTGGGAAGGTGGCTCAGTGGTAGAGCGCTTGCCTTGCATGCATGAGGCCCTGGGTTCGATTCCTCAGCACCATATAAGCAAAAAGAAAAAAGCCAGAAGTGGCGCTGTGGCTCAAGTGGCAGAGCGCTAGCCTTGAGCTGAATAGCTGAGGGACAGCGCCCAGGCCTAGAGTTCAGGCCCCACGACCGGACCCCCCAAAAAATAAACAAAAACAAAAACACCCTCACAAAACAGACCACTGAATAGCTGTTTAAAATGACTCTTCTAGAAACTAGATTGGTATCGATCAGTACATATGGTAGTTAAAATGGCAAGGTGGTAATTATGTATGTTTCTATTATTATTGCTATTGCTGCATCATTTAGAATGATTTTTATTTTTAGAAAAATACTACAAAGGTATTTCTTAAATATTCAAGAATAAATGTAATTCACATATTAAGCATGATAATTTTCATAATCTTAAAAAAGAAATACAAAATGTATGTATTTCATATAACTCATTGTAAAATGTTGCAAAAGCATGTTCAGACCTGCATGGGTCCAGGAATACAAGACAGAACTCTCTCTATGTTTTCTGAGGTCACAGCAACATCATTCACAGCAACAAGGACATCACCTAAAATTAGAATAATAAAAGATTGTTGTAGGAATATACAAACTCCAAAGAGATCTGGAATTGAAACATTAAAAAGAACGTACTCTTACTTAATCTAAGTACAGTAGAAAATGTGATATATACAGGTACTTATTTATCCAAGGCTGTGTTACACTAGTGACGTAACTATAGCCACTGCACTCTACCCTTCCCATTTTATAATACCGCCCAATAGAACTATAAATGAACTACAACCCATGAACATGTCAGGAAATGAAAATTCTCATTTGTGATATGTTTAGGAGAGTTACGTAAACTCAAGTAACAAAGTTTTAAGCATAAGCCAAGTATTGTAGTTAATGAAACAGAAGCTAATCACTGAGACCCCCAGTAAAACAAAGCAAAAAATCAGCTAAAATTCTAATTATGATCTAACTAGATCATAATTCAGTATTCTATGGTCTTATTGCTATTATTGATTTGTGTCTGTATGTATAGTTATTTGCTTCAAAGGTTAAAACCATATTAAAATATGCATCATGTTTCAGAAAAAAAAAATCCCCCTTTCCAGGACTATTCTTTCAATGTTGTATGTTTATCAGATTTGATAATTAAAGATCAACGTTAAAATGGAAGTTTATTTTCAGATTATAATTAAACATAGTACTAAAACCAGCAAGGACTGGGAATGTGGCCTAGTGGTAGAGTGCTTGCCTAGTATGCATGAAGCCCTGGGTTTGATTCCTCAGTATCACATACACAGAAAAGGCCATAAGTGGCACTATGGCTCAAGTAGTAGAGTGCTAGCCTTGAACAAAAGAAGCTCAGGGACAATGCTCAGGCCCTGAGTTCAAGCCCCAGGCCTGGCCAAAAAAAAAAGCCTAAAACACCAGCAAGATATGTGAACAGAAACACAAACATACCTAAGTTACTTTTCTCATCATTCCAAAATATACCATTAGGCAATCAATTAAACAATCACATTCATTCAACAAGTACTTGTCAAGCATGTATCCAGGGACAAGTATTATTTTAGGAATTTCAGGTAAGACCATTCTACTCTCATGAAACCTAAAAGGTCTCAGGGGAAGATGGGTAATAAATATCTACACAGGGAAAACAGCACAGCAGACAAATCTTCGTGGCTCTTTCACGTTTCTGTACATCTTGCAGGAAGAGGCAACAGAAACTTTGTTCTCTTTTCAGGGTTGCTTGTATAGTGAACAGCCTTGGATGAAACAAGAACAAAAAAAGTCTTGCTCAGTATCTTACTACTCATAATTGTTTAACAGCATGGTATTCCCTGAATGTAAAGTTCCTCAGTTTTAATATAAACTACTAGGTGTCTCTTGTTCTCTTTAGGAGTAGTGAATAGATGGAAATGCTGATACTTGTGCTGTTCCTTTCTCTTCCTGATTCTCTGTGTGGAAAAAAGACTGAGTTAGCAGAAAGAGTGGAGAAGGAGTTCCCTAGTCCATCCAGTGAAGGCTTTTATAAAGGCTGTTAGATGCTCAGGAAGTGCAATCCAGTTGAGAGCTCCCAATGGGGACAGAGTCATGGTCAACTACTACAGTACCTCAGGTAAGCTTGGAAACCCTCCCCCATCCTCTCTCCTTTCCTTTCCCTTTCTTTCCTCCCTCTCTCTCCCCCCTTCCCTCCCTCCCTTCTCTCACTCTTTGTTCTTTCTTCTCTCTTCTCACTTTACTTTGTGGCGTTTGGGCGGTAGTACTAGAGTTTAACCTTGAGCTGGAAGGCCATCACTACTACTTGAGCCACATACCAGGTACACTAGGGACTTTTCTTAAAAGAATTTGTAAACTGTTAGAAGGTTAGCAGGAATCTCCAATTATACTTCTTTGCAATATCCATTAGATATTAAATAAAGGAGAAAGAAATGTTTTCCTTAGGGACAGGTGTAGCTCAGCAGAAGAGAGCTTGCCTTGCACACACAAGGCCTTGGATCTGATTCCTGGCACCATGAAAAGCATAAAACTAAAACTAGAAATATTTTTCCATATGGACACACCAGCCATGAAGACTTTGCAGGATAACACAAAACAAAACTCCAAGTGGGACAAATATGTCTAAAGTAAATCCCAACATCATTCATGCCTATTACAGATAATGCTCCTTATATGTTGAGATAAAAATATTCACATGATTACATCACTTTCTCTTCAATGTCCTTCAAAATTCCTATTCTTTTTAATGTTAATATCTTTATTTAAAAAACTTTATATCACATTTTATTAAATTATACTAAACAACAAGGTATTTATTTGGCCAGCAGTATTTTCTTTGTGGGAATCTTATTTAAAACCAATATTTAGGATGTGATAAGCAGCATGGGGGCAAGAGGCATGAACATGTGGCATAATAAATATAATTTCCCATTCCAAATACAATGTGGATCTAAGGGTAGTGGCTGGAAGCCAGCCTGGGCAGGAAGGTCCATAAGACTTATATGCCAGAAGGGCAGACCACTGAGCAAAAAAGGTCAGGGACAGCACCCAGGCCCTAAGCTCTAGGACCTGTATACATGAGCATGTGTGCACACACACACACACCTTAAAATTCCCAGTGTCTTTTTAGTTTCAAATAAATACCTATTATGAGAGTAAGGGTGGAAAACACTCCCTACTCCCAAGCCCTCTAAGCAAATAAACTCAGGAATAGCACCCAGGCCCTGAGTTCATGCCACAGGACTAGCACCAAAAAAAAGTAAATGGATGTTTTTCTTAAAGGAATATATTGGTATGGTTAGTATATTCAAATATGAATACTTTTTTGTTTTTATTGCAGTGCTGGGAATTGAACCCAAGGTCTCACACCTGCTATGCATGTACTCTACCACTGAGCCACATTTTTTTTTTTTAATAAATGACATTTATTTGGGTCATTATAAGATCATTTACTGACATTTATAGCTGACTGCAAACTATAACATTCAGAAGAAACTACAAGCCTCTTTTTATCCCCATTTTTGGGGGGCTGGAGGGAGTGAGGTTTAAGCCACACCTCCAGCCATGTTTTAATTGGTTGTGTGCATGTGTACATGTGTGCATACATGCATACATATGCGCAAATGTGTATGTGCATGCTGAACTCGGATTCCTGCTCTTTCTCACAGCTTTCTGTTGGACATTCCAACACTTGAGCAACACCTCCAGCCCAGAATTTTGCTGGTTAAGTAAGTAGAGATAGTCATGAACAGTTCTGTTTGGGATGGCTTCAAAACATACCCTTCAAGACTAAGATCCTGAGATCCTGATCCTGAGTCACTAGGGTTACAGCTCTGAGCCATCGGTGCTCAGCCTCACTGGCTATGTTTATGAAGGTGTCTCTCCTCCTGGGTGAGCACCTACACCATTATGTTTGAGAGGGGTCTCTCTTCTAGCCTAGATGAGCACTTGGACCATTATACACCACTTTTAGGCTTATTGTAGTTGTTTGGATCTGCTACTCCATCTAGCTTCCCTCAGTTGAGCTGGGAGTCTTGTGGATTTTTTTGTCCCAGCTGGCCTTGAACCTCAACCTTCCCAATCACAGAGCACATGTAGGTTAAGATAGCAGGTTTGTGCCACTGTGCCCAGTTATGGGTTGAGAAGGGGTTCTGAAAACTTTTCTGCCTGGTCTGACCTCAAACCACAATTCTCCCACTGTTAACCTCCCAAGAGGCAGGATTATAGGTATGATCCACTGAACCTGCTTTTTCTGTTCATGATTGATGACACATTATGCTAACAAAGGCCAAGAAAAGGTAGAATTCTTACAGGATAAACAGTGGGATTATTCATGACAGAAATTCTCTTCTCTATGCTTCTTTCATGCAAACTAGCTTGCAAGAGAGGAGGGTAAAGAGATTGTGGAAATTCATCTATAATCCAGTCTAAATAGGCATTGAGAGCAAAGGGTCCGTATGTAGAATGGGAATGCACTGCTTGGAATTTCCAACCATGTGGGATTCTCAATTACTGTGGTTAGCTAACAACCAGGTTGGATTTCACAAACAGTAAGACAGATCTTTTGAAGTAGAAGGACTGACCTTAAAAGATATTCCAGTTTAGTCCCATTACTTTACAAAAAAAATTTTTTTGAGGACTTAGAATGACACGGGTATGCATTGTATTCTGTTCTAATTATCCACTGCTCTATAACAAACCATCCAAAACATGTAGTGCTTAAAACAGCAGCAATCATGTATTAGCTCTCCTCACTGTAGGCTCAGCGATGGCTCCTCAGGCAGTTAAGGCTAAATGGTCATTGTGGCTAGTCATCTCAAAGACTTCTTTATTCATGTCTGGTAGGTGGGACCTCAGCTAGGCTATCAGTCCTGTGTGTACTCTTGGCCTCTCTACGTCTAGAGACAAGAAAATCTTGTTGCAACCATTTTGGAACACCCAATTTTCATAGACATACTTCCTACGTGTTTCTGAGGACTCTGTAAAGTCCTAACATGGTACTTATGCTACTCTGTAAGGCTCTCTACCTAGTTATGGTCTAGTTCTTCCATTATTCTATGACCTACTTTACATAATTTAGATAATTTTAAGCAGTTCTGGAATTTAGGAGACATATAAATTGTTTTCACTTGTTGAGTCAATGAAGAATTGAAATGAGACTTTAGGTCAGATATTATTTTAAGAATGTTTCTATACACACACACATATGGACAAAAAATATGGAAAGTAAGTATTAAATTCATGAAGGAAAGGGCAAAGATAAAACGTTTCTCTTAGAGAAGAGCTTATATTTTGGTGTGCGTATCTTGCCAGTACTGGGGCTCAAACTCAGGGCACTCTCCCTTGGCATTCTGCTCAAGGCTAACACCAAGTGAGCCGTATCTCTACTTTCTCATATTTTTAAAATTTTTATTGTTATTATAAAGGTGATTCAGAGAGGGGTTACACTTACAGTAAGGCAAACAAAGAGTGCTATCTACTAAAGCCACTAAGATGGGTTAACTCAAGACTATTAGCTTTTAGAACTGTGGCTTTTTTTTTTTTGTCAGTTGTGAGGCTTGAACCCTGGGTCTAGGTGCTGTACCTTAGCTCTTCAGCTCAAGACTAGCGTTCTACCACTTGAGCCACAGAGCCACTTCCGGTTTTCGGGTGGTTTATTGGAGATGGGAATCTCACGGACTTTCCTACCTGAGCTAGCTTTGAACCGTGATCCTCAGATCTCAGCCTAGGATTACAAGCTAGGATTACAAGCGTGAGCCACCAGAGCCTGGCTTGACTTTTATGTTTCACTAATAAATGTATTCTCAGATTTGATCAGCTTATCTTCAAGTAAGCACATGCTACTAACTTAAACATGATATATAATAGCTCAAAGTGTATCAATATAATCAAAATAACTCATGGGTTTTTTTCACAAAATTGGTAGTATATTTCATGACATGTACCTTTAAAAGGAAGTGTATGTATATGATCACTATTGCTAAGTATGCCAAACCACTCTGTGAAATTATTGGACTCAAGTACATATACTTTAAAAGTATACTTATTCATATATTATATATTTTGTGTTATTTTTTGATACAATCATTGAAGTCCAAATTATTACCACTATGTAATCAACTTCTTTCTCTCTCTCTCTCAGAATATATAACCAAGATGTTACAAAACTGTACAAATCAAAATTAGTTAAGCTGTTCCCTGACAACTCACATATGTATCCAACCATCTAAAGTGCTATCTTAAGAACACTGTGCTTTGTGGTTTACTATCTGTAACCATTTCACTACTATACCAGATATTTATCAGTCCTTAATATGTTAAGAATACATAAATTCTGGTTTGTATCATGTCCTTCACATGGACTCATTAACCATGTGTCTCTGCAGACAAGGACTGATGTTCATGAGGCACACTTACCAATTAACACCTGGCCACTCTTCATAGCAGACCCTCCAGGCAGCAGGCCGTGGACCACAAGCCTCTCTCCACTGCCCTGTTTTCCAATTCTTCTCCAACTCCACTTGTTCTGATGGATAATTCCAAACAGTACTTCCAGAAGTTTAAGCTGCTCTTTGGCTTTGCTGACAGTTAATTTTTTGGGATTTACATAAATATTCACATCTTTATGCATCTGTTGGACAATGATACCTGCCTTCTGATGGGACTGATGCTTTAGAATGGATACCGGCCCATTATCATTGCTATTTTTTTTATTGTAGCACTTGGGTAAAAGTCTTTTACCTTTTAAAATTTTAGTAAACTGTTTGAGTTTGGGTTGATACTTTTTTCTTTCCTTGTAATTATCTTCCTCAATGATAATCTCATTTTCACTGAATCTGACATGGTTCACAGTCGATGTCTCAGGAAAAATGCTTTCTTCTTCATCTTCACTCAATTCCAAATAAAACAGCTCACCACTTTTTTGCACACTGTCCAGCCACTCAGGTTCAAAATCACTATGCAAAATTTAAAAATGATAACCATAATATCAATCCAATGTAAGAAAGACAGTTCTATTCTCTTATTAGGGAGTTATGATCAGCTTTACAGATAAGGAGGCAGAAGGGGTGGAAGTTATCTGATTTTTTAAAATTCTTTTCGCTTCTAATTCATTTCCTTAAAATGCATTTTGTAGACTCCTGAAGAATGGAGACACAATGTTGGGAACTGCGTAAGTTTGCGGCAGGCAGGCATGGGACCCCAAGCCCAGATCCTCCCAATCATTTGGATTCTACAGATCCCTCCCTCATATAACCTCCAAGAACTGTACAACTGTGGGTGGGTTAGGCTCAGTTGCCAAGTATTTATGCCTTCTTGTTCTGAGCACTGGGCCTGATCAGCCACTAATAGAATCAATTGCTAATAGAAGGGCTGATTGTGCATTTCTGAGCTACTTTCACTATAGAAGCTTCCCTTCTTTGTGTACTGGGAACCAATGCTGGCTACAGGGCACTTCACAGGCTGAGCCCTGCAGTTTGTGTATCTGAGGACATCAAGCCTCCAAGTCTAGGCATGACCTATTAATGTACGAGACAATAGAGCACACAGAGGCTTGAGTCCTACCTGGGTAGGCAGAGAACTTCCTAGTTCTCTTAAGCATTTTCCCTGCTGAACAGTTCACTCCCTGTGTAGGGGAGAAGGTTATGGAATCACATGATTCAGTGTCTGTGCTCAGGGAAACACTCTATTACTGAGTATACAGAATATATAAAGAGCTAAAAAAAAAATTAACATCAAAGAAACAAACAACCCAGCAAGTGGACAAATGACTGGAACAGATACTTCTCCAAGAAGTACAAATGGCCAATAAACACATTTAAAAAGTCAACATCCTTGAAGGAAATGTAACTAAAACACCTGAAAGAATGTCAATCATGGAGAAAAAAACATCAAATACTGGGAGGGGAAATACTTATACACTGATAGTAGAAATACAAGTTAGTGCAACCACTGTGGAAATTAGTATGAAGACTCTTCAAGCTAAAAATCAAACTAGACATTGTCACGTTAAGCAAAATAAGACAGACTGAGAAAGACAAATATTCTTTGTTTTCATATGTGAAAAATAAGCGACATGAGTGCAATACAGACACTATTTGGGGAGGGAAAGAGCAGAAATAAAGCCTTCCTCTCTCCCACTGTTTATCCTGGGTATTTCTACACAAAGATCAAAAGCTGACTGAAAGTAGAAATTTCTATGGATCAAGAGACATACAGCCAGGTGCCAGTGGCTCACATCTGTAATCCTAGCTACTCAGGGGGCTGACAGGTAAGGATCATGGTTTGAAACCATCCCAGGAAGGAAAGTCCATGAGATGCTTACCTGTAGCTCAAGTGATACAGTTTGAGCCTCGAGCAAAAGGAGCTTAGGGACAGTGCCCAGGTTAAGAGTTCAAGGCCCAGGACCAGCCAAAAAACAAAAACAGGTACATACAAATTTAAATAATAGATTATAGTTATCTGCTTTATAATTTTACCCTTTTAGTTTGGTATGCTGTTTGTATTAGCAGTAAGCAATCCCAAGAAATATTTTTCCACTTACTCAACATAAATACCTGACTTGCTGGGAGCCGATGGCTCAGGCCTGTAATCCTAGCTACTAGGAAGGGTGAGATCTGAGGATGGTGGTTCAAAGCCAGCCCGGGCAGGAAAATCCATGAGACTCTTATGTCCAATAAACCACTCAGAAAACCGGAAGTGGTGCTGTGGCTCAAGTGGTAGAGCGCTAGCCTTGAGCTGAAGAGCTCAGGGACAGTGCCCAGGCTCAGAGTTCAAGCTCCATGACCGACTAAATAAGTAAATAAATAAATAGCTCACTTAAATCCTGAAATTTGAATAGAAGACAACCTTTTGGATATAATTCAAAGATCCATGGAGCTGATGGGATGGATATTGGAGGATGGCACTCAGCTGTAGCAAATAATAGTAACAGTGGTAAACACAAGTGGTGAAGGAGTGAGTTGGAGAGAGTAAGAGAGAACTCCAAATGCAAGTAGCCCCAGTGCCACCCACCCATCGATCGCCTAAAAAATAAAACCCAGAAAAAGACATGATCAAGTAGCCAAAATTCAAGTTCTGAAGCAGAAATTAAGACTGCTATAGAAGGACAGATGCTAAAGTAAGTCTGAGAGAGATGAGGGAAGGATCTAGAAGAAGCACTTAGTTGGACCTCAGTGATTTTAACAAGTGAAAACAGGAAGAAAGAAGGCTCAAACAGAGGAGCCAAGTACACGAATCTGTAGGTGTGAAAGAACATGGCTAGTGTAAAACGAAGTGCAGGCGCTGGGAAGGTGGCTCCGCGGGAGCGCGCTGGCCTCGGGCTGAGGAGCTGAGGACAGCGCCCAGGCCCGAGTTCAGGCCCCACGACCCACAAAAAACAAAAATAAAAAAAAGAAGTGCACATTTCGTGTGTCCGAAACACAAGTTGCTTTGAAGATGCAGAGTAACGCCAGGATCCCGAGGCTCACGCCTCTAACCCTAGGTGCTCTAGAGGCTGCTATCTGAGGACCATGGGCCGAGGCCAACCCTGGCGGGAATGCCCACGACGCGCTCATCTCCAGTTAACCTCCAAAAGCCTACGGTGCAGAGGGAGCAGAAAACTCCTCAGGACTGCACCCAGGCCCCGTCCAGCCCCGGGGCTTTGCACGCATGCGCGCGCGCACACGGGGGAAACAAGGGGAGCGCCGGGCACGCGCACGCCACGCAAGGCCGGGCTAGAAGAGGGTGCGAAGCTACAGCTGGAGCCACGGCGAGACCCAGCTACCAGCCCTGCGTGCTCTCCGCACAGAGCGGCCCGGCGCGGGCGCACGCCCGCCATCCCAGCTGCTCAGGCCGCGGTTCGAAGCCAGCCCGGGCAGGCACGCTCCGGACGCCCGTCACAGCGCCCGCCGAGACCAAGAAGGCCCGGTCCGCGCCCGGGGCGGGCGGAAAACGGAAATCACCTTACAACAAGGCCTCACTGCAGAACGGGACTCCGCCGGCCCGGCTCGGCCCCACCTCCGGCCAGCGAGCCCGCCCGGCCCGGCCCCCCCGCCCGGCACGGCCAGAGCCCGCCCCGCCCGCCCGGCCCCACCGCCCCGGCCCCACCTCGGGCCAGCGAGCCCGCCCCGCCCGCCCCGGCCCCACTGCCCCGCCCGGCCCCCCCCCCTCCCCCCCCCCGCCACGCCCGGCCCCACAGCCCCGGCCCCACCTCCGGCCAGCGAGCCCGCCCCGCCCGGCCCGGCCCGGCCGCAGACCCTTACGTGCAGCCGCTGCCCCGCGGAGGTGTCCGAGCCCCAGACGCTGTCCGCGTCCTCCGAGTCACGGTTCTCGTCCTCGTCCCGCGCGTCCGGGCTCCGACGCGTGCAAGCCGCCGCCGCGGACGCCACGCTCGGGACGCAGGCCCCGAGGGTCCGCGCCGGGCTCGTCCCCGGCCGCCAATGGCCACGTGACTCAGGCGCCGCGCTGCTATTGGCGGCTGCCCGGTTGCCGGGGAACGGAGACGCGGCGACCTCCCCGCCCCCCCCCTCCTCCCCATTCATCCCGTCTCCCTCCTCCCCTCCCCCTCCCCTCCCTCTCCTCCTCCCCATTCATCCCGTCTCCCTCCCCTCCTCCCCTCCCCGCCTCCTCGCGCCCGCCCCTCCCCCTCTCCTCCTCCTCCCCTCTCCCTCCTCCTCCTCCCACGCCCTCCCCTCCCCTCTCCCTCCCCTCCCCGCTGCGGACTGGGCGCTTCTTGACTAGGAAACATCCGCTGGAGGGCGGTGGGCAGCTGCGTTTTCCCTTGGGAGTGGGGCGCGGACGCCGGTGCTCCGGTAAGGACGAGGGGACGGAGCCCCGGAGCCACCGACCTCGCTAGAGACCCGCCACGGGAGCGCCCCACGGCGTCCACGGCGGGGAAACCGAGGCCCCAGCCACGGAGCGCCCACGGCGGGGAAACCGAGGCCCCAGCCACGGAGCGCCCACGGCGGGGAAACCGAGGCCCCAGCCACGGAGCGCCCACGCGCCCACGGCGGGGAAACCGAGGCCCCAGCCACGGAGCGCCCACGCGCCCAGGCCGGCCTTGTCGCCCTTGGCCACGTGGCGGTCCGGCCGCGCCCGGAGGAGGCCGCCACCCCGCCGCCTGCCGCACCGGGAAGCCCCCAGGCCGCGCCGCCACGGGCCGCCGGCTGCTGCGCTCGCCAAGGGGCGTCGGAAATGGGGTGAGCCGAGTGCGGGCCGCCACCGCAGCCCCGCGTCCTGTCCTGTCCAATGGCGTCATCGTCCCGCGTCCTGTCCTGTCCAATGGCGTCATCGTCCCGCGTCCTGTCCCGTCCAATGGCGTCAGCACCCCACATTCTGTAAAACAGCGCCATCGCCCCACGTCCTGTCCCATCCAACGGTGTCCTCGCCCCGCGTCCTGTCCAATGGCGTCATCGCCCCACGTCCTGACCTGTCCAATGGCGTCATCGCCCCGCGTCCCGTCCCTCGGCGTCATCGCCCCGCGACCCGGCCCACGGGCGTCAACGCCCCGACGGCGGCGCGCGTTCCCGGCGCCTCCTTGACACGTGAGCCGCCGCGGCGTCGAGGCCGCTCCCGGAAGCGTGGCGCGACGGGGCCTGCGGCTGAGTGCCCGCCGCCCTCGCAGGCGTCCCCGGCGGCGTCCCCGGGCGCCTCGCTCCCGCCTGCCCGGCCTCCCGGTCCCGCCCCACCCGCCCGACGACCTCCGGGTGCTGCCTCCTGCCACTAGGCATCCTCTTTCCCCCCTTTTCCTCTGCTTTTTTGCCAGTCCTGGGCTTGAACTCAGGGCCGCCTCCGGCCTTTTCCCTGCGTGCGGCTCTGAGGAATCGAACCCAAGGCTTCGCGCAGGCTCGGCAAGCGCGCTACCCCTTCCCAGCCCCCCCTAACCAGTCTGTTCTCATACATAGCTCATAAAGGGCTAAGTAATATCAGACTGTCTTGTTTATAAATTGTTTAGAAATAATATATCTGTATTCCCCGCTAAATGACAACTAGATGGCAAAATATTCTCCTTTTCTAATAAAGGTCTTTAACCTTTTGTAAGATTGAACTGAAGCAAAAAAAAAAAAAAAAAAAAAAAGCAAAAAAACCCCTGGTTAAACGGTAATTCCTTTGCTCAACTTCTTACAGATAATAAAAATTAATCAAACTTGTATCTTCTACAAAGTTTTAACACTCTTTGATCTATTGGAGAGAATGAAGAAAAGTTTGTGATTTCATTTAGAGTCTTTATATAATACTCCATTCCAGAACTGGTAATTACAAGACTTAAAAGTTTTAGACTGGGATATATTCTTATTTTCTAAAGACCCACCATCTTCTGAAGCCTGTATGTTTCGTTTAGCTCAGAAGAGACATGAGGTCCTTATTTCCATAGATTATAATCAGGGAAACAATAGAATGAAATAAAATATACTAGAGATAAGACATAATTAAATATTTACCATCTGTAGCAGGTGCAAGAGCTCTTTCCCCTGGTAGCAACAGGAGCCAGGGATGGGCAATAAATGAAAACTGGACCACAGGAGGTTGCATTCATTTAAAGCTATAAATCACAAGGCAAACACTCCATAAAGTGTAGTTTCATTAGATTCCAGTTAATAGTGCTTTAACTGTGAACAAAGAACTAGTACTTTATGAATTATGTAGTATAATGAAAGCCACTGTCCCTGAGCTCTTCAGCTCAAGGCAAGTGCTGTACCACTTTAGCCACAGTGCCACTTCTGGCCTTTTCTGCTTATGTGGTGCTGAGGAATCGAACCCAGGGCTTCATGAATACAAGGCAAGCACTCTACCACTGAGCCACCTTCCCAGCCCAAAGCCACAACTTTTTTTTTTAAAAAAAATTGTGAATAAATGACTTTGTAAAGCAGCAAACTATTTTAAAACTAGAATTTTAGCCAGGTGCTGATGGCCCTCACCTTTAATCCTAGCTACTCAGGAGGCTGAGATCTGAGGACTGCAGTTCAAAGCCAGCCCTAGAAGGAAAGTCCATGAGACTCTTATGTCCAGTTAATCACCCAAAAGGTGGAGGGGGAGCTGTGGCTCAAGTGGTAGAGTGATAGCCTTAAGCAGAACAGCTCAGAAACAGTGCCTAGGATCTGAGTTTAAGCCCCAGGACTGGCACACAATAAACACAATGCACAGGCCATGATAAGAACTTTCTGAGCAGAGTTCCGGGGGCTCAACAAACTGACAATGAAATGTAAAAATGGGATTGCATCAAACTGGAAAGTTTCTGTACAGCAAAAGACATAGTTATTAAGCTAAAAATACAGCCTACAATGTGGGAGATCTTTGCCCTTTGACAAGTGCCTAATATCCAAAATACACAAGGAGACAAGGGCCTAATATCCAAAATACACAAGGAGACAAGTGCCTAATATCCAAAATACACAAGGAGACAAGTGCCTAATATCCAAAATACACAAGGAGACAAGGGCCTAATATCCAAAATACACAAGGAGACAAGGGCCTAATATCCAAAATACACAAGGAGACAAGGGCCTGATATCCAAAATACACAAGGAGACAAGGGCCTGATATCCAAAATACACAAGGAGACAAGGGCCTAATATCCAAAATACACAAGGAGACAAGTGCCTAATATCCAAAATACACAAGGAGACAAGTGCCTAATATCCAAAATACACAAGGAGCTAAAGAAACTGCCCACCCCCCATTAATAACCCAAAAATAAATGGAAAAAAGGAGCCAGAGACTTTTCAGAAGAAAAATGGCCGCTAAATAGAGGAAATGCTCAACATCCCTAGCCATAAAGAAAATGCAAATCAAAACTATATGGGAGAAAATGAGGGAGAGAGTTGTACTGTTTGATAAGAAATGTATTCATTGATAAGAAATGTACTTGTGTAACTGTAACCCCTCTATAGGTCACCTTTACGACAAAAGTAAATTAAATTTAAAAATAACTATTTAGATTTCATCTTACCCCAGTTAGATTGGCAGCATCTAGAAAACAAACACAAACAAATCTTGGTGGGGATTCTGGGGGAAAAGGAACCCTGTGGCACTGTTGGAGGGAATGTAAACTAGTGCAACCACTCTAGAAGGCAGTGTGAAGATTCCTGAAATATAGAAACCACTTTTGGGCATCTACCTAGAATGTTACAAGTCAGGATATGGTAAAGACACCTATACATCCATGTTCATTATGGCAATATTCATGACATAACCAAGGTATAGAACTAGCCCAGATGCCCTACAACAGATGAATGGGTCAAGAAAATAAGATATATAGATAGAAATAGAGAGATAGAGAGTTAGATAAGAGTTCTATTCATCTATTAGAAAGAACAATGATATATCATTTGCAGGGAATTAGACCTAAAAAAATTATGTTAAATGAAGTAAGTCAGGCTCAGAGACAAACTTCACTTTTTGTTGTTGGATATTGGTCTTGAACTCAGGGCCTGGGTGCTGTCCCTGAGCTTTTTCACTCAAGGCTAGTGTTCTACTACTTGCACCACAGCACCAGTTCTGGTTTTCTGGTGGTTAATTGCCGATAAGAGTCCAATGCACTTTCCTGCCTGGTTGGCTTTGAACTGTGATCATCAGATATCATCCTCTTGAGTAGCTAGAATTACAGGCATGAACCACTGGCACTTGGTATATCACATGTTTTTGCTCACATGTAGAAGGTAGGTCTAAAATGCAAACATATATAATGTATGTAGTTTTATGCATATACACACAAACTGACTATAAGATGGCATGTCTAAGTGGAGGAGTCCAAACACAATGCCCCTGAGCAACTAACTAATGAACTGTTTATCAGAAGAACATCAGGGGAAGTAGAAACATGTTGGAGTAGGGTGGAAAAGGAGGGACAAATGGAGGAAGGAAGGGTGACCGAATACAGTCGTATTTAATGAATGCTATGTAAAAACTGAACTATGCAACTTGAAGGTATAGAGTGGGGGAGAACGATGGAAGGGTTGATATCTGTCAATATGCAGTTTACTCGAAACCTGACTTATGGAATTGTAACCTCTTTGTACAGCTACTTAATGATGAAATTTTAAAAATATGCCAGGAACTGATATTGTTTGTGAGAACTGATAGATAGATGAGTATGATTTTAAGGTTAAGTTCTCAAATTTCTGTTAAATTATATTTAAAATATTGTATGCAGGCAGAGTACATTTTATTAAATAGGAATGTGTGTGAATACAACTTCATCAAATGCAAGAAACTTCCATGGATGTCCTAAGTTTTAAACAAGCGTTTATGAAAATACTGAACAATAAAGTCTGTAAAGTCTGTAACACAAAACAACGCAGTGCCAAAGCACAAAGATTGTTACCTACTGTGAAAAAGAAATGCACTCTTTCCCCGGCCCCCTGCACCCCCTGGTGATGGCAATGCAAAGGGGAGCAGAGGAGGCACCTACCGTTTCCGCGTCCCCGCTTCCATGGGCTCCTGGCGGAGGAAGCGACCCCTTCTCCAGCCGCCCCGCGCCTCTGCGCCTGCAGACCGGGTGGTGCTTTGGCGCTGCAACTGCTGCTCACCAAGCTGGGACGTTTACCGTTTAAAACCTGACAAATGCAGGCGCCGAGCTTGGGCTGCGAGTGGGCTTCTGGAAGGCTTCGTGGACTTTTCTACGGAGCAAGGGTCCTCGGGTGCGGGTGCGTCCCCCGGTGGTGCCAACGACTGCGAACGGGCTTCGGACCGGTGAGGCCAGCCGGGCCCCGCCCGCCGGGGCGAGCAGCAGCTCCGGGCTCTGCGCCAAGACCTGCCCGTCACCAAGCGCTGCGCGGGGACGCGGCCGGGACCCGCCACCCGGGACCCCCGGGCCCGGGACCCCTCCACCCCGGGACCCCTCACCCCGGGACCCCCACCTCGAGACCCCTCACCCCGGGACCCCTCCATCCCGGGACCCCCCCCCACCCGGGGATCCCTCACCCCGGGACCCTCACCCCGGGACCCTCACCCCGGGACCCTCACCCCGGGACCCCTCACCCCCCTCACCCCGGGACCCTCACCCCGGGACCCTCACCCCGGGACCCTCACCCTGGGACCCTCACCCCCTCACCCCGGGACCCTCACCCCGGGACCCTCACCCCCTCACCCCGGGACCCCTCACCCCGGGACCCCTCACCCCCTCTCCTCAGGACCTCTCCACCCCGGGACCCCTCACCCCCTCACCTCGGGACCCCTCACCCCGGGACCCCCTCACCCCCTCACCCCGGGACCCCTCACTCCGGGACCCCTCACCCCGGGACCCCTCACTCCGGGACCCCTCACCCCGGGACCCCTCACCCTGGGACCCCTCACCCCCTCTCCTCAGGACCTCTCCACCCCGGGACCCCTCACCCCGGGACCCCAACACCCCGGGACCCCTCACCCCGGGACCCCTCACTCCGGGACCCCTCACTCCGGGACCCCTCACCCCGGAACCCCTTACCCTGGGACCCCTCACCCCCTCTCCTCAGGACCTCTCCACCCCGGGACCCCTCACCCCGGGACCCCAACACCCCGGGACCCCTCACCCCGGGACCCCTCACTCCGGGACCCCTCACCCCCTCTCCCCGGGACCCCTCACCCCCCCTCTCCCCGGGACCCCTCCACCCGGGACCCCTCACCCCCTCACCCCGGGACCCCTCACCTCCTCTCCCCGGGACCCCTCACTCTGGGACCCCTCACCCCCCTCACCCCCGGGACCCCTCACCCCCCCCACCCCGGGACCCCTCACCCCGGGACCCCTCATCCCAGGACCTCTCCACCCCGGGACCCCTCACCCCGGGAACCCTCACCCCTCACCCCGGGACCCCCTCCACCCCGGGACCCCTCACCCCGGGACCCCTCACTCCGGGACCGCTCACCCCGGGACCCCCCACCCCGGGACCGCTTACCCCGGGACCCGCCCCGGCCCCGCGGTGGCTCCGCTCTCCCGAGCCACCGCCCCACTCGGGTTCACTTCCCGCCGTGGCCCGAGCCTCCCCCGGAGCCGGTCGGCCGCTTCTGGAGCCGGTGTCCGGGGCGGGGCGACCGGGTCTGGAAGAGCCGAGCCGCTCCTCCTCCTGCGGGCAACCGCGCTCGGCTGCACCTGGGCCAGGACCGGTCCCCCCGCGCCTCGCTCCAACCCCCCGGCCTCCCGGACCGGCGCGCACTGACCTGCGGGGCATGGGCGCGGGGATGCCGACCCTGCACGCGAGACATGCCTGCCAGGATGCGGAGCGGGCGGTGCAGACCCGGCCCGGGGGGCGGGCACCCGGCTTGGAGTTGAAGACGGACCTGGGGGCAGAGACAGAGCTGGGGGGGCGGAGACAGAGCTGGGGGCGGAGACAGAGCTGGGGGGCGGAGACAGAGCTGGGGGCGGAGACAGAGCTGGGGGGGTGGAGACAGAGCTGGGGGCGGAGACAGAGCTGGGGGCGGAGACAGAGCTGGGAGGCGGAGACAGAGCTTGGGGGCGGAGACAGAGCTGGGGGGCGGAGACAGAGCTGGGGGGCGGAGACAGAGCTGGGGGGCGGAGACAGAGCTGGGGGCGGAGACAGAGCTGGGGGGCGGAGACAGAGCTGGGAGGGCGGAGACAGAGCTGGGGGGGTGGAGACAGAGCTGGGGGGCGGAGACAGAGCTGGGGGCGGAGACAGAGCTGGGGGCGGAGACAGAGCTGGGGGGGTGGAGACAGAGCTGGGGGCGGAGACAGAGCTGGGGGCGGAGACAGCTGGGGGCGGAGACAGAGCTGGGAGGGCGGAGACAGAGCTGGGAGGCGGAGACAGAGCTGGGAGGTGGAGACAGAGCTGGGGGTGGAGACAGAGCTGGGGGGGCAGAGACAGAGCTTGGGGGGCGGAGACAGAGCTTGGGGGCGGAGACAGAGCTGGGAGGCGGAGACAGAGCTGGGAGGCGGAGACAGAGCTGGGGGTGGAGACAGAGCTGGGGGGGCAGAGACAGAGCTTGGGGCGGAGACAGAGCTGGGGGCGGAGACAGAGCTGGGGGCGGAGACAGAGCTTGGGGGCGGAGACAGAGCTGGGGGCGGAGACAGAGCTTGGGGGGCGGAGACAGAGCTGGAGGGGCGGAGACAGAGCTTGGGGGGCGGAGACAGCGCTGGGAGGCGGAGACAGAGCTGGGGGGCGGAGACAGAGCTGGGGGGCGGAGACAGAGCTGGGGGGCGGAGACAGAGCTGGGGGCGGAGACAGAGCTGGGGGGCGGAGACAGAGCTGGGAGGCGGAGACAGAGCTGGGGGGCGGAGACAGAGCTGGGGGGCGGAGACAGAGCTGGGAGGCAGAGATAGAGCTGGGGGCGGAGACAGAGCTGGGAGGCGGAGACAGAGCTGGGGGGCGGAGACAGAGCTGGGGGGCGGAGACAGAGCTGGGGGCAGAGACAGCTGGGGGGCGGAGACAGAGCTGGGGGCGGAGACAGAGCTGGGAGGCGGAGACAGAGCTGGGGGGCGGAGACAGAGCTGGGGGCGGAGACAGAGCTGGGGGCGGAGACAGAGCTGGGGGTGGAGACAGAGCTGGGAGGGCGGAGACAGAGCTTGGGGGGCGGAGACAGAGCTGGGGGCGGAGACAGAGCTGGGAGGCGGAGACAGAGCTTGGGGGCGGAGACAGAGCTGGGGGGCGGAGACAGAGCTGGGGGGCGGAGACAGAGCTGGGGGGCGGAGACAGAGCTGGGGGCGGAGACAGAGCTGGGGGGCGGAGACAGAGCTGGGGGCGGAGACAGAGCTGGGGGCGGAGACAGAGCAGCCCCTGCAGTCCCAGGCTGCGCCCCATACTCTCCATCCACCGCGTGCCTGTGACCACGAGGCCCCGCCCCAGGCCACCCTCCGGCAGGAAGCGGGGCCGCCGTCGGGGGCCGGGGTGGGGCGGAGCGGGGCGGGGCTGGGGCCTGGGGCGGGGCGGGGCTGGGGGCTGGGGCTGGGGCTGGGGCTGGGGCTGGGCTGGGGCTGGGGCGGGGCTGGGGGCTGGGGCTGGGGCTGGGGCTGGGGCGGGGCTGGGGCTGGGGCTGGGGCTGGGGCTGGGGCTGGGCTGGGGCTGGGGCTGGGGCTGGGGCTGGGCTGGGGCTGGGGCTGGGGCTGGACCGGCTGGGCTGGGGCTGGGGCTGGGGCTGGGCTGGGGCTGGGCTGGGGCTGGGGCTGGGGCTGGGGCTGGGCTGGGGCTGGGGCTGGGGCTGGACGGGCTGGGAAGGGGCTGGGCTGGGGCTGGACGGGCTGGGCTGGGGCTGGGGCTGGGGCTGGACGGGCTGGGCTGGGGCTGGGGCTGGGGCTGGGGCGGGGCTGGGGCTGGGGCGGGGCTGGGGCTGGGGCTGGGGCTGGACGGGCTGGGAAGGGGCTGGGCTGGGGCTGGGGCGGGGCTGGACGGGCTGGGCTGGGGCTGGGGCTGGGGCTGGGGCTGGGGCTGGGGCTGGGGCGGGGCTGGGGCTGGGCTGGGGCTGGGGCTGGGGCTGGGGCTGGGGCTGGACCGGCTGGGCTGGGGCTGGGGCTGGGGCTGGGCTGGGGCTGGGCTGGGGCTGGGCTGGGGCTGGGGCTGGGGCTGGGGCTGGGGCTGGGGCTGGGCTGGGGCTGGGGCTGGGGCTGGGGCTGGGCTGGGGCTGGGGCTGGGGCTGGACCGGCTGGGCTGGGGCTGGGGCTGGGGCTGGGCTGGGGCTGGGCTGGGGCTGGGGCTGGGGCTGGGGCTGGGCTGGGGCTGGGGCTGGGCTGGGGCTGGGGCTGGGGCTGGGCTGGGGCTGGGGCTGGGTTGGGGCTGGGGCTGGGCTGGGGCTGGGGCTGGGTTGGGGCTGGGGCTGGGCTGGGGCGGGGCTGGGGCGGGGCTGGGCTGGGGCTGGGGCTGGGGCTGGACGGGCTGGGCTGGGGCTGGGGCTGGGGCGGGGCTGGGGCTGGGGCGGGGCTGGGGCTGGGGCTGGGGCTGAAGGGGCTGGGCTGGGGCTGGGGCGGGGCTGGACGGGCTGGGCTGGGGCTGGGGCGGGGCTGGGGCTGGGGCTGGACTGGCTGGGGCGGGGCTGGGGCTGGGGCTGGGGCGGGGACGTCACACTGCTCACCTGTGGTCAGTGCACCTGACAGTCCTCAGGAACCTGGGAGGACGTCACACTGCTCACCTGTGGTCAGTGCACCCGACAGTCCTCAGGGGCCTGGGAGGACGTCACACTGCTCACCTGTGGTCAGTGCACCTGACGGTCCTCAGGAACCTGGGAGGACGTCACACTGCTCAGCTGTGGTCAGTGCACCCCGACAGTTCTCAGGCCTGCATGAGGAGGTTGGCACTGGGCCTGGCTTCCGGGGTTCCTGAGCCGAGGACATGTTGAGGCAGGCATCAGGGTGGACATTTCTCTGTCTGCTTGCCCCAGGAGGGCTGGATCCCTTTCTCCCGCCAGGCTGCTCCTCCAGAGACAGAGGGAGGCAGCAGTGACTGTGGTGCTTTAGGCAGCTGTGGGGTGCCGTCCCCCTCTGTCCCCAGAAACACGCAGAACCCCAGCTCATTCCAGGTCTGTGCCCAGCAGAGCCCAGACACCCTGCAGAGGGCTGCTTGTGAGGAAGCTGGCCACAGTCAGAGGACTGAGCACTTCGGGGCATTTGTCTCTCTCCCATTCTGGGCAAGCAGCAAGCTGTCCTGAAAGTTCTAGAACGCTGAGTTGGCCAACTGCTGCATGTCCACATTGAGAAAGGTGGATGAAAGCCCCTGTTGCTGACTGTTGCTGCGCACAGACCAGACCCTCCTGAGAAGGGTCACTCCACACTGGTCAGAGGCCCTCATGTTGATGGCTCAGGAGGCCCCTGGTCAATCCTCAGCCCCGTGGGGAGGGTCTCTAACCTTAGCATCCTGACACCCGGCCTCTTTCTTCTCTTTTCACCCTTGTGGGTTTGCCCCAGGCCTCTCTGAGAAGCAGCGTGTGGATACACAGCCTGTTCTACCCTCTCCCCTGTAAAAGGCCAGCCTGGGCTCAGTGGACACGGGCGAAACGCCATGACCAGCTGGAACAGCCTCCTCACGAACCTTCCTGAGTCACTTTCCCCACTGAGTTCACAAGGGACGTCTTGGCTGTTCCAAGCACAGGTGACCCAAGCGCTGGGATCCTGCGATCCAGCATCAGCAGCATAGAGGCTCACCAGCTTCAGAATATCATACCTCTGTTTCGTGTCCTAATTTCCCCACTGGTCCCAGGAGGTGGAGAGCTGAGGTCAGGGATCCGACAGACTCAAGTGACCACCTGGCCATGGCTATGTCCTGTGAAGGGCCCTGCCTTCCATAAAGCTTTTTGGGTGAACTTGGGGGAGGCACCGTGGTCTGGAGAGCGTGTGGAAAGAGTGGAACACTTGTGTGTTATTTCTCTAGTGTGGCTCTGACTCACCACTGCAGACTGGGTGGTTTAGAGATCTGTGTTCACAGCTCTGAAGTCCAGCAGCATGGAATCAGTGTCTTCTGGGCCACATTCCCTCAGGAGGTACAAGGCACGGTGAGTTCTAGGTCTCCTCTCAGCTTCTAAACCTGTGAGAGCAGGGTGATGTCTCTACAGAGGATCATCCCTGGGTGCATTTCTGGGACCCAATTTCCCCCTTTTAGGGGCACAGTAACAACAGGAACTGGAGTTGATCTTCCCAGAGCCCATTTCCATGTAAGGTCACATTCACAGGTACCGGGTGATGAGAGCGTCCATATATGAACTTTGGGAACACAACTCATTACAATGTTCCTGCCTCTCCTGGCAGCCTCTACTTCCCTATTGACCTCGTGACTCCTCTGGGGCCCCATCTCCTTCCTGGCACCCAGCAGATCACTGCTGGCCCTGACTGCTGGCCTGAGCTGACACTGTGAGAATTCAGTGAGAGCTGGTGTAGGGGGAAGGGTCTCCTAGACTGTTAAGGTCCCAGACTGTGTGAGGAAAACTAAGCAGAGAAGTTGACCCTTTACTAAAAACAAAGAGAGGCCATGAAGGGAGACCTTAAAACATATTTCACACGGAATTCCGCCCTATGTCATATTCTGCCAATTAGAACGGTGCCTGCCGTGGGACATTGTGCATCCCACCCCGTGATCGATTGCTTCCTGCTCCAAGGGAGTCGATGCCTCGGAGTGCACATTGTGTATCCTCCTGCAGCTATCTCTGTAATAAAGCTCCTGTAGCTGTCTTTGTAACAACCCCCAGCTTCAAGGATACAGGGGCATATGGCATTATGTTTCTGGAATATACAAACCCCAAGAGTAAGAATATCTGCCTGCTTTATGTGGGGACCCCAAATTTGCATGCCAACT